TTAATATGCCCTGCCTGCTTTGTTGGGCACGAATTGTACTTGGGCACTGGGGAAATCCACCGCTGCAGTGTGGGTAATGGAGAAAAATGGCAGCATGCCATCATTTTTGTCTCATTTCATCACCTCTGCCTTTTCTCGAGCAAGTGTTTGTATTGTACGGATGATGGAATAGTGAAGACCAAAATGAGGAAGGATCATTTGTCTCATCAAGTTTGTCCTGTTCTGTTGAATATTCAAAGGTGTTCTGTAGTCTACTATAGCTTTTTCCTCTGCTGAATTAGCTGGTAAATTAGACCAGTCATTTACTGTGTCAGCTGTATTGGGTGAAGTTTTTTTTTCAAGAATCATTTCAAACTAACTTTTTAGTGTGATGCAGGTATAAAGGAAATAACATCAGCATCAGCCAGATCTGCTGATGCTGGAGTCCGAGTCAATACCGTGTGGAGCTGGAGGAACACAGCAGCTCAGGCAGCATCAGAGGAGCAGGAACGTTGACCTTTCAGGTTTACACCCTTCATCAGGACTGGGGAGGGGGAAGGGAGTTCGGAAATAAATAGAGGGAGGTGGTCTGGGGTAAGGTAGGTGGGATGGTGATAGGTGGATGCAGGTAGGGGGTAGTGGAGACTGGGCAGTGAGAAGGGTGGGGCAGATAGGTGGGGAAGGAGATGGACAGGTTGTGTCAGGGCAAGGAGGCGGGGATGAAAGGGAGGGTTGGACGTGGGATGATGCCGGGGATGGAGAGATTTTAAAATTGGTGAATTCTATTTTCAGACCATTGGGCTGTAGGCTCCCAAGGCGGAATATGAGGTGCTGCTCCTCCAGTTTGCGGGTGGTATCATCGAGCTCCTTTTGATGCCTGCCTGACTTGCTCAGTCCTTCCAGCTCCACAATGAAATAATATTCTGGGTGTAGGAATCCACATTGCGTTTCCATACATTAGTCTCCTCCTCTACTTAAGTGCAATCCTTCTACTGAACTTGATTCTCAAATCCTCCCTCCCAGCTCATTCCCTTCATACTTATATCTCCATGCCTACACTGTTTGTGGACCTGTCAAGTTCTACCCATGGCTGCATCATCCAAAGTAGGGATTACATTAAGGGATAATGTAAGGCACAAGCCCACCTGACATCCTGTTTTGAAACTTGTGCCTGTGTCCTGTCCTTCCAATCAATGCTGGCCTTTTGGTCCACGCTCTCGTTGTTTTGAGGATGAACTATCACATTCCTCTTACCACCTACATCTTTCACAATGCTCAGTTAATCCCAACTTCAACCTTCATTAGTACAACAATTATCTATGTCTTTCCCTAAGCCCCACTTGGTGTCTGTGCCCTTAAGTGTCTCTGTGGACTCATTCCATCTCAAATGAATGATCTTCTGCAGTCACCTGTGATGCTCCGTACATTGTGATTCAGGATTCCCCATTTGTTTGCCACTTACACAGACTGACAATTCAGTCACCACTTACTGTCTGAAATTGCTGTGTTGCCCCTTGCTCTCTGCCTTGAAAATCCCTAAAAATATTTATTCTCTCTATTTATCGTTCCTTCTGGTGTTGATGCCCCCAAGTTTGTATTCGTTGATTAAAGTACAACAGTTGTGTAGTTGATGTTATGTATAAAGAACATATTTTTAATCAACCTCTTTATACATGTTGTTGTGACACACCTCCAGGGCATGAACCTGGACCATCTGACCCAGACGTAGGAGCACTATCACCGCACCATGACAGCTTTTCAATTGACATTGTACATATGGACTTTCAAAAGATCTTTGACTAAGTATCACGTAGTAGACTTGTTGAAAGCATTAAAGTGAACAGTAGTGAAAATCTAGAAACTGAGCTGAGAGACCGTAAATAGCAAGTAGTGTTTAATGGTTGGTTTTGAGCTTTGGATTTGGAAATAGACAGCGTTGTCCTCAAGGGTCAGCATTGGGCTCATTTCTTGATGTGTGGCAGTGAGCTGGCCTTGGCTATATAGAGGGCATGATTTCAGAGTTGGCAGATGACACCAAAACTTGGAAATTGAGCAAAGATCGAAGAGAGATGTGAATTTGAGGAGAATGTGGACAGACTGGTGAACTAGGAAGATGCATCTCTATTTTGGGGGTATGATGATTGTCCTGTCTGCCTTCCTGTACAGAAGGCAGAACCTAGCTGCATGAGAGATTTGGTGGAGGACTTCCTCTTACTGGTAGCCTTCTCTTCAATTGTATAATAAAGCCAAAATTCTTGCTTTGCAGACTGGATGACCACTTTATGGAACACCTCTTATGCAGAGTTTAACTATTTCAGAGCATGAATGCTCTCGTTCATGCTCTGTTACTTACCTCCATATTCCCAGGTCCTGATCTCTGTGGGTTGCTCATGGCACAGTAGACCCTTTAACAAATACTCACATTTCTCGTTAGCACCCATTTACTTCTCTCCCAGTTTACTATCAGCAATCCTTTTGGCTGTGCCCCTTTTGTTCTCACTCTGGCTGTGCAGGGAACAGTGTTCAGTAATCCTGTTGCTGCTCTCACAGTAAAGACACTGGTACCGTTTCCTCTACCCCTGCCACCATCCAAACCACCCATCAAAAAGCGAACAAATGAAGGCACACTCACAGCCACTTTAAGAAATGTGATTACTGAGATTTTTCCAGATGCGTATCTATTTCGGGGATCCTGTTCAGATGGAGCTTCCTGATAGAAGGGGATTTATGTTGTTTTGCTTTGTTGATTGCCCTGGTTACTGCTTATAATTTATGAACTTCCTTCTTGTTTTTATGATTCAAAAGAAGTTTCTGTGAGTCAGGCCTCCCTTTCTCCTCCACAGCCTGTTTTCCCTCATTCCTTCTAACCTCCCCATCACACAATGTAGTCATATCCTTTGTTTTTTACTGGATTTCTTTCTTAACTGTTTACATGCCTTTCAAAACATATAGCCAACAGTGCAGTGCTGAATCTAGAAGCCATAGAGAGCCTTGATTTCCCCTTTTTACCATGCTGAATTGTATGTGAATTTTATCGACTTGTGTCTGAAAATGAGGTGAAGCTTTATTGCAGCGAAACATAGCACCTTTAGCAGTTGAGGAGTAAGAAAGTCACTTTGTGTGTTTGTACTATATTAGAAACCTTGTGACCTGATACATTAAAGGTAAATCTATCATTATTTTAGATAAAGCTTTGTACATAAGGATGATGGAAGAGCATCTCACTTGTCACTTTGAACTTACAGGCTCCTCGTTACTAATGGTAATGGTGCTATCCTGCTTTCCTCATTTTCCCAGCCTCTGACCAGCACAACTAAGGTTGTCAACTTTGGTTCATTTCTTAAATATATTCATTCATGGGCTGAGAGGCTGGGCCAGCATTTATTGGCTGTTGCAGTTCAGAAGATGGTGGTGAGTTCCATTCTTGAAGTGCTGCAATCCATGGCAGGTGCAGGTACACTCTCATAATCCTGTTAAGATGGGAGTTCCAGGCTTTTCATGGAATCATAGAATCCCTGCGATGTGGAATTTGGCCACTCGGCCCATCGAATCCACACCGACCCTCTGAAAAGCATCCTACCCAGATCCATCCCCCTATCCTATCCCTGTAACCCAGCATTTTCCACTGCCAATCCACCTAACCTACACATCTTTGTTACCGTGGGAGGAAACTGGTGCACCCGGAGGAAACCCCCGCAGACAAGGGGAGAACGTGCAAACTCCACCCACAGTCACCCGAGGATGAAATCGAACCCGAGGCCCTGGCAGTGAGACAGCAGTGCTAACCACTGAGCCACAATGCCGCCCTCTCGTATTCTGATTTAAAGACAATGAAGGAACAGCAGTATGAATATAATTCCTGGAGGATTTATCATGTATTGCCTTGTCCCAAGCAGTTCCATATTCCTACTGTCAGTAAAACTATAAACCATGTATAAAATGTTTATTCAAACCTCCACACATTCCAGCTGTACTTATCTCTCACCTCAATCCTAAACGCTTCCAACCTAAATTTAAACGACAAATGGGGATTTGGGCCTGTTCTGTCCTCAAGTGTGTTTGCACTGTGGTGGACATTTTCTCCCCCGAGTGCTACTGGCAACTTGGTGCTGGTTGGGAGAATGGCAAACTCATATGTGCAGTTCGCCTGTGCACAGGAGAGTTGCTATTGTGGGTTACAACCAAACTGCACTCTCAGCCTTGCTGATCTCTCCACTATTAGGAATTCACCACTCCATTGCAGGTTGTGAGAATGAGGGAAGTGGGAACATCTCCTGGCTGGAAGCTCAGTGAATCATAGAGTCCCTACAGTGCGGAAGCAGGCTGTTCGGCCCATCAAGTCAATACCGAATCTCCAAAAGACCCACACCCATACCCCCCTACCCTATCCCTGTAACCCTGCATTTCCCATGGCTAAACCACCTAGCCTACACACCCCTGGACACCATGCACAATTTAGCATGGCCAGTCCACCTAACCTGTGCATCTTTGGACTGTGGGAGGAAACCAGAGCACCCGGAGGAAACCCATGCAGACACGGGGAGAAGACACAGACAGTCGCCGGAATCGAACCCAGGTTCCTGGCGCTGTGAGGCAGCAGTGCTAATCACTGACTTCTGTGCCGTCCCTAATGGAGCCTAAGAGCAACAAGGACTGGGAAGTGGAGAAACACACACAGAAAGGGTGAAGACAACACACTGGTGGAAGAACAGGAAAGAAACACAAATTAGGAGAGGGGAAACATTAACCTCATTTCTTGCTCTGCAGATGCTGCCTGACCTGCCGACTGTTTCCAGCATTTTCAGTCTTACTACTTGTGTCGAGCCTTCTATATTGTGCACACTTCCTTTTTCTGGTTTTCTGGTCGCATATCCTGTGGCTCAAAACAGGTTTCGGAAGATGTTTTTGTAATTAATTTTTAATAGCTTGGCCCTGTGATTCCATTTAACAGTGGTTGAGAGTATCTTGTAGTGAAGCAGCAACATGAGACTGTTCACTGATTGTTGTCTTCTCTCTGACAGGCCTGCATTGATGAAAACCTAGACATGGTCACTTTCCTGGTGGAGCATGGAGCTAACATTAATCAGCCTGACAATGAAGGTTGGACAGCATTACATGCTGCAGCCTCGTGTGGCTTCATGGAAATCACACAGTGAGTGTGGATGTAGCAAATCAAAGGAACCAATTTGCTGTCACTGATGCAGCATTGGGATAGGGGTTGAGGCGGGGGAAAGGCATTGAGCATACTTTCAGGATAGGTATTGATTTCACCTTCTGTCCCCTGCCTTTCAAACTTGGCTCATGTAGTCCCAAGGTTAAAACATGGTTAACCAGTAACTTCCGAAGTTCTGACGACTCCAAAAGAAGAAATTGCATCGAAAGTGCAATGGGACAAAAGACTTATAATATAAGCTGTAAATGATCTAATATTCCTTCACTCATACTGTTAAAATTAAAAGCCAGAAGCACTATATGTGAATGTTTGGGAGAAATTAATTGACTTGAAGTAGAGAATTTATTTTCCATAATTGTCCAGAGCCAGATACTCCGTAAAAACAATTTGGACCGTTCCAGTATCTTGAAATTTACAGTGAATGTTGATTGCAATTTTTAATTTAACTAAAGGAATGGAAATTGGTATTAAAAACTACTGTCTCCTATTAAGGAATTATTTTGTCTGTATTTCAAAACACTTCCTCCAGGCATATTGGATGATCTACTTTGAATGTAAAATGGCTAATAACTACCACCTGTCACCTCTTAGGGCTGCTCTGAGTCTCAGACTCATGTTTTTGTGCAGCTCCTGTAAATTAAAACTATTGATCATGGATTCCAGCTCCAAGCAGGAATACCTAGTGAATAATTTATAAAAGCAGCAGAGCAGAAGTTAGATCAGTGTGGCCAAGACCACATTGACTTGGCACAAATTTGAGCACACCAAGGAAGTTTGCAATGTTTCGCTGACTTGTTACCCTCGAAACAACAGTATTGAGAATTACTCCGCCTGTCTTCCCACCGCAGGAACACTAAAATGTGAAGAGGCTATTGTAAACCATCTACAGTCCCCTAAATGTACCACAGTACCCATTGCTATTAAATCTCTCATGCCATTTGGTCACTATCTGCCAAATACCTCCCTCATCAATTCGCTCCACTCTCCACCACCATTTATGCCGATAGTCATCTCCCACTATGTAAAATAGCTACATTAAAATTAGCTATTCATCTTCCCTTCTCCTTGAGCAACTTGTAGATCTTGTGGTTTTACCAGATGTTATTAGGAATCAGTTTATACATACACCTCTTGGAATCTTAAATGACTAAATAAAATCTGAGTCCCCATACCAATGTGCTTTGATGGAACGGTTAGCAAAGCATGAGGAATCTTGTGCTTCACAAAAAGAGGCATTGAATATAAAAGCAGCAAAATAATGTTAAATCGTATCATGTAATATAAAATAGTGCGTTCAGTTTTGGCCATCACACCTCAGGAAGGATGCAGGTGTCATTGAGAGTGTGGAGAGGTGTGCTTTGAAGGATGAGGATGTTAGCTACAATGTTAGTTGAAGAAACTGGTCTCTTTCTGAACTGTAATAAATCTATGACAACAGTTCACTAGTGTTAGAGTTATAGTTTCCTTTGCTGTATTTCTTAGTGTAGGTGACTAATTTCCAATGCCAGGATCTCTCACTGAACAAGTATTTGGAATATTGCAATATTTAGAATATAGTAGGATACAGATGGTCAGACCAAATTAATTCTAACGACATGAGACTTGCTGTCCACAGCACTGGCATAATTTTGCCTATCTGCAAACAGCCTCCTCCACTGCTTTTAAAAAAAAAAGCAGTGTAAACTCGACTCACAATGAGTTTCAGTCATGTGCCATTCCATTCACAAATCCATTCTTGGTTTTAAAACTGTCGTTTTCCCATTTCAGTTCACAATCAAAAATATATAGACATGAAAAGGTAGTATCTAAACTGATGTGTAAACAGTAACTAGAAGTTCAAATTTATTTTCTGAGGGTTAATGAGATCATAAGGATTGGGCTGGTTTTCCACCATAACTCCCATATTCATAACTTTATTGTTCCTTAGTTTGTATCCCTATATTGTTTAATCCATAATGTACGAAGGGGAGAAAATGCTTCTAAAATTAAATCTTACTTAAGCTTGCTAGTTTTAAACTTGTGTAGTCTCATTCAATACTTACGTTACTCTGCTCTTATCTTTGTTATCTACAGCTTTCAGCACTGCTTTGAGCTGGCATTGCTTGATAAGGCAGCGTAAAGTGGGAATATCAGAAATGGACTCCCACACTACCATGCGATTACATGGGGTGGTCTTTGGTTGTGCATCTAATCTCTGTGATGCTGCTGCATGCGGCGTCTTCCCTGTTGCTTAATAGAATAGATGTTCGTCAAAGGGAAGAAGGACTGTTTCAGACCTGATTCCTTGAATGCAGTCCCCTGTAGCATTGTACTGCATTCATCACGAGAACAGAGTCAAACTGGAACAGGGAAACCTCAAGCAGCAGCATGTTTGGTGCTCTTTCTGCTGGTGTTCAACAGAAGCAGACAGCTTATCAATACATTTTGAAAGAAAGTTCGGATAGGCTCAGTTTTGTGATTTTTTTTTTTCCCTTGTGTATGCTGTATGTTTTGTATCACCATTGATGTGAATAGCAAGGTCCATGAGTGTTGGAATCTCAGTCAAGTATAAGAACTGTACCCAGTAAAGAGGGAACTGATAGTGTCACAACCCTTTTAAATATTCACCAACCAGCTGGACCCCAGTAAAGAGATGGGTGTGCTTTAGGGACCCTCTAACTGAACTGTCAGAACTGGCATTAAGTGATATAAATTTCTTGCCAACCACATCTTTTGATGAGTGAAAGACCTGACTAAAACATTTCAACTTTCCATTAGTTGAGAATCATGTAACAACAGCTTAAGCAAGAGTTCAGAATGGTAGATCAGTGATCAGTTAGTGATGTAACTGAACTTGGCCAAAATTCAGTTCAAACAAACACTGTAAAGTGTCCAGGTCCCCAGTAAAAGTATCTGCTTTTTCTTTGTTTAGGTACTTAATTAAACAGCGGGCGAATGTTGCAGCTGTGAACAGTGAAGGGGAACTGCCAGTTGACATTGCTCAGGGTGAAGCTATGGAGAAACTGCTGAAAGAAGTCATTAAGAAGCAAGGTAAGGGCTCTGACTAACCAGTTAATTCTGTAATGAAAGATATCTGCCTCACAATTAAAGAATGTAAGAATGTCTGTGTAAACTTGGAACCGCACATTCCCAACTGGACAGCAAAAGGTTCTTTCAGTTGCTTAAGTTCTTCAGAACAATTGGACTGAAGACTACAGTAGTGTTATAGTGAGAATGTCAAACAATTGAGATCATTCAGAAATAACGGGTTGATTGTGTGCATGAAGTAGGAAAACTGACCTTGCCAGGAGGTTGATTTCAAACAGGGAAAATTAATAGCCATCTTTCTTTCCCATTGACCTGGTGCCATTACTTTATTTATTTATTAAATTTTTCTCCTCTTCCCTCTTAACAGCATTGATCCTTGCTGGCATGTGGTTACATGATGGCAAGTGTCCTTCAGTAACCTGACCAAGTGGCGACTCTCCATGTATAAGCCTCGAGTGAGTGTTTATGGGACTTCAATTGTGAGAGGACATCACTGAGTTTTATTCAGTTCTCGTCCAACTTGCAGTTAACTAGGCTTTCCCTTCTCAAAGCAAGGTTACTGAGCGCTTGGTAGCATCCCCGTGACTAACGTAGCCGATATTAGGTATCTCAGGATTGAAAGCAGAACCTTCTTTGGTCTATATGATTCGGCTAATCATTGTGTCTACCAACTGAGGTTTTGAGTGAGCAGTCAGCTGGTATTAATCAAGATCATCACTGCTTTCGAATTCTTCAGTTTTAAGACTACAGCTTTACTTCTTTGATAGCCCTCACCTGACCACATCGACAATTCACACAATGTCTTCCGTAAGTCCTGTTCTGGGTAAGTTAACCCACAGTTTCTCTGTGGTGGTGCTTCTGATTCAGGGGCAACCACATACAAAGGGAATGAAAGAAAGTTATGCTTGCATTTCCTTAAATCTTCAGTCTGTCTGTACTCTTTTGGAGTGCTTTGTATACAGTGAGCAAATGTGAAATACCATCAGATATTTTGGTGGGTGCCATAGTGACTTGAGAATATCTAACTATTTTAATTTCTGATGATTCTAAATTTTATTTGAACCGTAAGTGTGTCAGCTCTGCAATGGCCTTCAATGTGTGAATGTCTCCTGTATCACTGCTCCTTTGCGATTAATGCCCACTATTAAAACTTAGCTCCCTTGCTTAATATTATAAATTCAGATCTCTAACTTGACATGTTCTTGCCAGTTCTTATTTCCTGAGGATTTTGTGGAATCCCTGATTGTCCCTCTTAATTATTTTTCATTAACAATCCTTCCAGCAGTTCTGAAGGGCTATACCATTTTGCTCAGTAGGAAGTATGTTTGGAGACTTAAGTATGGATCATCACTTTTACCAAGCAGGTCACCACTATTTTTCCAACTCAACAGTCAGAATCACAGAATTGATAAAATGCAGAACGAGGCCATTCAGCCCATTGTGTCTGCACTGGTTCTCCAAGTGAAGACTTGTTGCCGTTCTCCTGCTTTCTCTCTGTAACACTGCACATGTTCCCTTCTCAGATAACAGTCTGATTACATTTTGAGTGTTTCAATTGAACGTGCCTCTCACTTTCGGGCTCAAACTGTTGACACAACATTTGCTTGGAGTAAATTATCAATTTCAGATGTTCCACAAGCTGTGCTGCAAGTCAGTTGTAAACTAATCTAATGTTGAGAAGTAAGGATAAGCGTCAGCTATCCACCTAAATGTATTTGACCAACAGATAAATCTTGTTCATGGAACTAAGTGGTCTGTTGTGGACACTCAGTTTCTGATATCTCGAAAGCAAGTGCATGTGGTCCACCCATTTCACGGATTGCAAGGATAGAAGAGTAGACTTGTACCCTTTGAGAGCTGTTCATCTTCCAGTGATAATACAAATTTTGCAGCCCAGAATGGTTGCAGACAGCATGCCAGTTACACTGCTCTGACCAGATGTCCATGCTGCCTTCAAGGAAAGATCACACTCCCTTCATGTTGCAGTTGAAAGTTCCTTTCACTTAAGTTAAAGCAAACTACTGTGGATGCTAGAAATCTGAAACAAACACAGCAAATTCTGGAGAAATTCAGCAGCTTTGGCAGCATTTGTGGAGAGAGAAAAGAACTCTATTTCCACAGATGCTGCCAGACCGGCTGAGTTTCTCCAGCACTTTTTGTATTTATTTTGCTTTAACTTGCTGGTAGATTGAGAACAAGCACGTTTACCTAAGTATCCAGATATGAATTCTTTCCTCTTTCAACATGGAGTTCATGATGAAATATGTGCCATTTGTCAGTTCTTTGTCAGGTACATGAAGAGTTCATAATGACTGGATAACAAGATGCAAGGGCACTCTTCTTTCATGTTGGCAATATGTCCAGTTCTAATTCTTGACCGTGATCTAAGTGGTCATTCATTAAACTCAATGTGGGAAATATTTCAGTTGCTGTTGATTCCTTTGTGTTCTCATGTGGTGGTTGTTTTTTGTATATGTGAAACGGCATTATTGCTTAATACTTGTGATGGAGAATCTGCTGCTAGCCAGTGACTTCCACAACAATGTAGAACCAAGGTGTAGCACTTGCTGTTGTGCAGGCCTCCTCTCAGGATTGGTACATGGATGAATTGCACAACTCTCTCTGTTCCTAAGCAGAGTTTCAAATATCACTGTTGCTTTTAAGGATCTACACAGTAAGTTTATTCTTTCTGATAGAGCTACTTTGAACTTGCTACTTAAGAATCATTGAAATCAAAGACATTATTGGTGTAGGTGTGTACTTCCCATTGAGCCCCACAGTAAATGTACAATTTATGTCTGAGTATTCTGTTTACCAATCTTATTGCAAAGCTACCCATTGCATCATTGAGCACGAAGCAGTGAGAGGTGATCTCTCTGCGTCCAATTCAGAAAGCCAGATGGTGAAGGATATAGTACTGGAATCTAATTTTTACTCCAGATTTTATTTACAGAAATACTTGTATGGATATTTTCTAATCAACGTGTTCAGTGATGTGATAACGAACCTCTGGAGCAATCTGGGATTTGAACCTGGGCCTCTTAGCTCACACTGCCACTGCGCCACACAATCCCTCAACAGAGATGTGTACCTAAATAAATCCCCACTTGAAACCCATCAGCTGAATACAACTTGCATCCAAATGATATGTAGTTGACACCCTGGCTGGATGGATTACAATCTTGATTATTCTGGCCTTCATCTCAATTTCCACCAAGTAGGTTTCATGTCCTTTATGGTGTATGATCGTGAATGAGGCAAGGGCCTGATGAAATTTATCTTGACAGGAAGAAATCCCTGTTTCCACAACACATCAGTCTCTCCTCCCATTGAAAAAAAACACTGGAATTTATTGGAATCACCGTTCATTGTGGATGCAGAATGCAACGGAATGTTGCAAACTTAACCAGATTATTGGCATAATACGTTCAGAAGAACTAATTGATACTCAATAATATCAAGTTTCCCAATGAAAGCGTATTTTTGCCTATTTCAATCTCTTTTGTTTCAAGATCCCAGTTTTTCCGAGAGTCCTGAGCTAGAACGTATATTTTTTGGCTGGATATTGAACACTTCTGGTTAAATATAGGCATTGAGTGCACCAAACATAGCCACTGTCTCCTGGTCTGCATCAGTGTTGTTTAGTCAGCTGATCTACTGATATGTTTCTTAAGTTTGCTAACGGTTACTGATGAGTTCATCTTCAAAATTATTTGAAGGAAAACTAGGAGACCGTATCAAAAAGCTTTTTTAGGTAATGTTTACATTCTGTGTTGAAGAATTACACAGAGGCGCTGTATGAACCATCAGTTCGCACATTCCATAGGGAGAATATGGAGAATAGGATGTTCTCATCACAAACCTTTTGTGTTCTATAATCTTTAGAATCACATTAAGTTGAAACAAAACTGCAGTTCCTATGTTCACAAGTTTGTTTTTCAAGAAAAGAATTTTGAACTTCTGAAAGAGAGAGTTTTGTCCTCTAGGTCGCATTCACAGTTAGAAAATGTAACCCTTTTTTGTTTCTGACACCAGGGAAAGAAAGATTAATAGTTAGGAGATATAAAAATTCTGGCACCTGAGACACAGACCAAGAGTGCATGAAAGAGCATTGGGCAAGTAATGACTTTCATTACCTGATGTTGAGTTCTTTCATTGCACTGAAAGGTTGCTGAGTCGGAGAGCCGTTGCTGGGCTTGTCTGTGGGACTGCGACAAGGGAGTGGAAGTTGAGGGTGAACCGGAATAATGGAATGGCGAGGATTTACGGTTGAGCAGTAGTTCAAAAAGAGAGATCCACAGAATCCCTACAGTGTGGAATCAGGCCATTCGGCCCAATGAGTCCACATCCACCCTCTGAAGAGCATCCCGCCCAGACCCATCCCCCTACCCTATCCTGTAAGCCTGCATTTCCCATGGATAATGCACTTAACCTACATATCCCTGAACACTATGGGTAATTTAGCATGGCCAATCCACCTAGCCTGCACATTGCAGACACAGAGAGAGCGTGCAAACTCTACACAGATAGTCGCCCGAGACTGGAATTGAACCTGGGTCCCTGGTGCTGTGAGGCAGCAGTGCTAACCACTGAGCCACTGTGCTGCCCCATGGATGTAGCAAGTGAAGTGAGCAGTGGTCATGATTGAACTGAGAAAGTGGTGGTCAAAAGGGGGATGGTGTAATAAGACAATAAGACCACAATAAAAAGGAATGGGAGTAGGCCATTCAGCTGCCTCGAGACTGCTCTACCATCCAGTGGTATCCTCACTGTACTTTCCTGTCCTTTCCCTGTAACTCTTGATTCCCCGACTGATCCAAAATCTATCTATCTCAGCCTTAAATAGACACAAGGAATCTGTCCCCACAGATCTCTATGGCAAGGAGTTCCAAAGACTTCCAACCCTCTGAGAGAAGGAATTCCTGTTCATTTCAGTCTTAAATTGGCACCCCTTTATTCTGAGACAATGCACTCTGGTCCTACATGTCTCATGAGGGGAAACATCCTCTCAGCATTTACTCCACAAGCCCTTTAAGAATCCTATAAGTTTCAGTGACATCACCACACGTTCTTCAAAATTTCAAAAGTACTGGAGATGTGGTCCCACCAACAACTTGTACAGTTGCACTAAGACTTCCCTACTTCTATATTCCAGCCCCCTTGAAATAAAGGCAAAAAAAATTCCATTAGCCTTCCTGATTACCTGCTGCACCTGTGTGCTAGTTTTCTGTGTTCTGTGCACAACTACCCCCAAGTCTCTTTGTGTTGCAACTTTCTGCAGTTTTTCTCCATTTAAATAATATTCTTTCATTCTCTCTTCCAAAATGAACAACTTCACATTTTCCCATGTCATACTCCGTTTGCCAACTTTTTGCCCACATACTTAACCTCTCAGCGTCTCTCTGTAAACTGTTTGTATCCCTCTCACAACCTGCCTTTTCATCTAATTAAAAAACGAAAGAACTGCGGATGCTGTAAATCAGGAAACAAAACAAAGTTGCTGGAAAAGCCCAGCAGGTCTGGCAGCGTCTGTGAAGGAAACAAACCCGAGTTAACGTTTCGGGTCCGGTGACCCTTCCTCAGGTGACCCGAAACGTTAACTCAGGTTTTTTTCCTTCACAGATGCTGCTAGATCTGCTGAGCTTTTCCAGCAACTTCTGTTTTGTTGCCTTTTCACCTATTTTAGTATAAACTGCAAATTTAGCTAGAGTACATTAACTTCCTTCCTCCAAGTCATTAATCTATATTTTAAGCAGTTACGGTCCCAGTACTGATCCCTGTGGAACCCCACTTGTTACAGGTTGCCAACCCTTACCCCTCCCCTCTGTTTCCTGCCCATGAGCCAATTCTCTGACCATGCCAATAAACTGCCTCCAACACTTTGTTGAATGCTTTCTTGATGTTCAAATACAACACATCAACACCTTCCCCTCTATCCAGTCTGGTCGAGAATTCCTCACAAATATCTAAATTAATCAGACCCTATTTCCCTTTCATGAAGCCATGCTGACTCTGCTTGATTAGATTATGACTTTCCAAATGTTGTGCACACTACCCTAGCAAGTTGTAAAAGTGTCCCCAGACCTGCACTCACTTTCAAGCTGCTTCAATTCAGTAGATAAATACGTTTTGTGAATCCTTTTCAGGACTAGAATTTCAGTCATAATGCTGTACTTGTATTTATTTCATGGTTACCATAATCGTTAGATAATGGGCTGTCTAAAACTATAAATATTGTAGTGTGACCCAACTGCTCTCTAGAGAAAGTCAACATTACTTGGTGTTTTAGATTTGATTCACTCCTATATAAAACCCAGAATATTATTAGTTTTGTTATATCACTGTCACCATCTCAAGTCTTGCAATGGAGGAAAAAATAAATAGGCTTCTTGCCTCAATAGCAGCTGATTCAGTTCAGATGCTAATGTAGATGTGTGTATGTGTATATGCAGGGCCAGGGTGGGCATGAGAGATTTCAGTAACATAAGAAACGCGGGAGGTAGACAGGGAAGGAGCCATTATGAGCTGACTGAATGCTGTGTTACCGAAGAAAATCTGCACCAGAAAATGTTGCCTGGAGTCATCGATGGCTCCTTCTCCTTCTCCTCCTGCTATTCCAATCCCATCCATCACCTCTGAGTCAAAGAACAGACAAAAAGAAAGCAAAAACACAGAGAGAGAAGTAGTTCAGGACTGAGAAACAAAATAAAAAGTCAGAAAGAGAGAAGCAAATGAGACCGAAACAGAAGAGGTGAAATAATGCAAGGACCAGCAAAGCAAAAAATAATGGAAACAGATGAGAAAAAGAGACAAAATTTAACTTGTCAAATGCGGTGCCACTAGACATCTTTAATGGCTGCTGGAGTTAACATTGCAGGATGGAAAGGAACCTTTGCAGTTCATAGCCCTAACAGGCACATTCCATCCTCACCCTCACCCACAAAGAAAGACAGACCGACCGACTTAGCTTTTGTATATAGTGCCTTTCACAACCTCAGTGTATCTCTGAGTCCAATAGCCGATAAAGTCCGAATAAATTGTAGTCACCATTTTCATTGAGGGAAATGTACAGGAAGTTTCCATAAAAATCAGTGAGATAATGACCAGTAAGGTTCCTTTTATTCTTGGCTGCATGATAGAAAGTATTGGGGAGTCTTGAAGAAGAACAGATAAATGTTCCTCCTCTTTCCGCCCCAAGAGGACGAAAGGGTCTTTGATTTAATGTCTCCTCCAGAATACAGTACCTCAGACAGCGCAACACTCCCTTAATACTACACTGGATTGTCAGCCTACATCTTGTGCTCTAATTTCTGCAGTAATTCCATGACTTTCCTGTTGGAAACGAGGTAATCTCATTGAGATACAGCTGACACTGTGGGCAGAACTTCAGCTGTGACACATCATTCCCAATAGTGGAGAAAGAATGGATGCCACTTCCACTCTCCTCTTGTCCTTTGCCATTTAGTTATAATCAAAATTTCAAATGCCTTTAATTTGCTGTATGCAAGATCGTGTGGCTTATCTGACCCTACTTTCTATTACATTGTGAAGGGCATAGTCGGAGAATACTCTCAGCAGGGTCAATTGAAGTGTTGTAGGTGAACTCAAAACCTCATAAGGCCTCTGCCAACCACCACTCTGAGAGGGACCACACGTGGAAATTATTTTGGGACGTTAGAAAAGAATTCTGTTCCTGACTGCTGTGAATGAGTGGCAATTTAAATGGCAACAACAACTGGGAAGAATGGAAGGATGCACTGCAACAAACAGGACAAAAGTTGTAAAACTGGCAGCACATACCACAAAACTGGCGGCTGTATGGAATAAAATCCATTTGCGGGTAGACTGATGCGATGCCAGGTTTTCTGTTGACAGTGACAGGTGTTTTGTGTTTCTTGACTTCAGGCATTGATGTGGAGGTCGCCAGGAAGGAGGAAGAACAGCGAATGGTCCAGGATGCCAGACAATGGCTAAATCGAGGGAAAATAGAGGATATTCGACATCCCAAAACTGGAGCCAGTGCCCTTCATGTTGCTGCAGCCAAAGGTTACTTGGAGGTTATAAAGTGAGTGCACAGAAGTCATTGAATTCCCTGTTAGTGAACAGGTTTTCCCCTGACACCCTGTTTATCCTGTTTTATAAACATATTTCTTTTTAAATGATCTTTAATATTTGACGTTCTGTTGACCTTTTTGTAAAATGGCTTTTCTGTTTCCGGCCATTGGGACCAAATTTTACTTGATGCAGTATCAAGAACAGGGTCAGGCTATGCTGTGATGTGATGTGATTCCTCAGGCTGTACGTGGCTCAAAGTATGGGACAAAATAATAGTTTGAGGAAACTTCTAGCTAAATATATCTAAGTGACGACAGTACATTGTACGGGTGCAGGTTTGCATTTGAGACTGTAAAACAGGTCGGTTGCGAAGTGCACACTCAAGTGTTAAATGTAGTATATCCAGAATAACCTAGGTGAGTGCGGTGAAAGAGTGCCAAAGTAAGGAGATAATCTGAGACATTTAGATTCTATTGCAGTAACCCCTCAGTCAGAGGCATTTTCCTGGCGATCTCTGGGGATAGATTGTCCTTTGCAGTCCTACTTGAAACCAGAAAGTGAAACAGAATGGGTGGATGACCTCCAGCTGTAACCTTGAGTTGGGTTTTTCTTGGCGCCTATGATAATTTGTGTCTCTTGGGAGCTGGCCTGTGGAATCTAGGTTGCAATCTAGCCCACACTGACAGCATTGCAGTCTGCCCACTCGGTGCTAGAAGGATCCTGAGAATTTCACTCATTTTCTAGTTGATGCAAAGCATGAAACTGCTAGTGCTAATTGGCATTCCCCACAGTCAGTCTGGCTCACAACATAATCTGGTTAACATACATTTACTGTGTAAAGGGGATTTACTGTCTGTATTGTCTGTGATGGGCCTGGCTGGGGAATACTTTGTTATGGCATTGAACATAAAATGTGGAAAAGTGCTGATAGCAAGTACAAATTTACCAAAATGTTTCAAAAAATAAGTTCATTAAATCTTATAATTCTTTACTGTTCACTCCCTCCTACCGTTATTGGCAGGACTGTTATGTTTCTGCTCAGAAAGTTCACTGGACAGGATAATGTTGCCATAGTCCCAGAGGACCATAGGGCTGCTTTCTCATTAGAGAGCGAGAGACAGACACCACCACTGGTGGTGGTGTAATCTCAGTAACCACGCCTGAGGCAAGGAGTGATGTCGAGAAGGTGGGACCTTCATTACCTCTGCTGGTGTGGAAATCAAACCGGTAATATTGGTGTCAGTCTGTGTTGCAAAACCAGCTGTACTGTCAACTGAGCTAACTGACTCCCAAAATATGAAGGATACATATCTGAAGAAAGCGGTGGGCTCTGCAATGAAGGTGCTTTCTCCTGTGCTAGCCTTTCCTGGACCAAGTCTTTGTGTATCACGTTTCTTTTGTTGCAGGTTGTTGATCCAGGCTGGCTTTGATGTGAACAGCCTGGACAATGATGGTTGGACTCCGTTGCATGCAGCGTCACACTGGGGAAAAGAGGAGGTGTGCAAACTGCTAGTGGAGAATCTGTGCAACATGCAGGCCATTAATAAAGTGGTGAGTCTGACATTATTTAATGGTGGATTTGGTGTTCCCACACTGCTGCTGATTTTTTCGGTGAAAGTGGGTACCAGATATTGAGACTGAAGTCATTGTCTCGGGCGCCTCTCCAAGGCCCTGATGTGGTATCATACTTTGCAAATTAGGAAGATCCCAGATTTCATCTCCATCTACCTTTGAAGAACAACTAAACTGCCTTTTGGATAAAGGGAAAATCAACCTGGGTTCCCATTCTTGCTTCTCAACCAATCACTCCTGGACACGTCAGGATTAGGCACACTGCATGTTAATCCCGTTCCCTCATGCTGTCGGGCTCAAATATTCTCCATTAACATTCTGAATTTCTGACTGTATCTCCGTTTGCACCAGTTCAACTCTTTATACTTCCAGACTTGTGACCATTTTTATCTTATTGATTGTAACGGTGTTAATGTTAATTGAGTTCCCTCACTGAATCACTGTAAAGTTGTATGAGCAAATGAGTCATGCACTATAATTTCATATCATTGCACTTCATTAAACAAAGTGACTCCAGATTGCACTTTTATCATTGCACCAAAGCTTGCTGAATGGAGCATTTAATAACATGTGGTGATGAATTCTGATACAATCTTCTTTTTGCCCTGATGGCTGCTGAAAGTTTGAGCAGACTACAACACAGTGAGATGACGGGGCATTTGGGACCTTAGTGAATAATGGAACCAACGGTGTGACCTTAACCAGTAGACTTAAGAGCTTAAAAAAAACAGCAGGGAGGTGAATTGAAATTCAGGAAGAGAAATAGAGAAGAAAGGTTAACTTTAACAAAGGAAAAAGGAGATGCAACAGTCATCTGTGCCAGCTCAGCCTTCTTTAGGCTACAGCACTGACACAACTGTCTGATGTGCAGTACTGGATGAGCAGAAACTTGCTCCAGTTCCCACACCAAGCTCCATTCCAAGCCACTGAGTCCATTCCTCTCCTTGGAAACCGCCTGTGACCGTATATTCTCTGTTTCCAAACTTAGTATTGTTTTCGACCCAGAGCTTCCAATGTTGATTCTGCATCATCAATAAGACTGCCTAATTCGCCTCCATAGCATTTTGCAAGTGTACCTACGTTTAACTCATCAGCTGAAACCTTCATCCATGCCTTTTTCACCTCTACACCTGACTATTTCAATGTAGGTATGGCTGCATGCCCTGCATCTGAGCCCATTCCCCCCCACCTCCACACACACTCTCAGATGTGTCTCCAACCTCACCCACTTTTAATCTGTGAAAACCTGAGGGCATTCAAAACTCTTCTGCCCATGACTGAACTTGCCCAACTTCCCATTTGTCCATTGCACTGAACTGCATTTACTCCCATTTAAGAAACAGCTCAATTTTAAAAAGCTCTCTCTTCTCTTTAAATTCCTCCACAACCTCCTCTGTCTCTGTTGTCTCCAACAACCCTACAATCATCATTATTGTTCATGCAGGGGATGTGGGCATTGCTGCCATGGCCAGCATTTATCGCCCATCTCTAGTGCCTGTTGAGAAGGTGGTGGTGAGCTGCAGTCTATTTGGTGTAGGTCGACCCACTATGCTAGTAAGGAGGGAATTCTGGGATTTTAATCCCAGCGACACTGAACGAACGGCAATTATATTTCCAAGTCAGGATCGCGAACGGTTGGATGGGAACTTGCAGGTGATAGTATTTCCATGTATCAGCTGCCCTTGTCTTTCTGGATGGAAGTGATTGTGGGTATCTGCACTCTTTAATTTTAGCCTTACATGCATTACCAACTTTAATCGCTCCATGCCAGGCCTTCAATTGCCAAGACTTTTGTGACACTATCTAAAAAGTATTGTTTTGGCCAAGATTTTGATCCTGCTCTCCTATATCTCCTTATCTAGCAAATTTTGTGTTATGTTGTTCTTGTGAAAGGCATTGTGCCTTTTACTCTGTTAAAATGTTTCATCAACACCCGTGGTTGTTGTTTATCTCATTGTGCTCTCTCAGCCAAGAGCAACAATGAGATTCATCAGTGAGTTGCCACATTGCTGTTTGTATCCTGCAAACTGCCTCCCAGTTGCTAACTTGCCAAAAGTCATAGTGGACCAATATAGTGCATTGTGTTAAAATGTTACGAGAAGCTTTTGCTCTATTATTTGTTCTCTATTCATTTGTGGGATGTGGGCGTCGCTGGCTGGCCAGCATTTCTTGCCCATCCCTAGTTGCCCTTGAGAAGGTGGTGGTGAGCTGCTTTCTTGAACCGCTGCAGTCCTTCTGCTGTGGTTTGACTCTCAATGCTATTAGGGAGGGAATACCATGATTTTGACCCAGTGACAGTGAAGGAGCGGTGATATGTTTCCATGTCAGGATGGTGAGTGACTTGGAGGGGAACTTAGAGGTGGTGGCGTTCCCAAATGTCTGCTACCCTTGTCCTTCTAGATGGAAGTGGTCGTGGGTTTGGAAGGTGCTGTCTGAGGATCTTTGGTGAATTTGTGCAGCGCATCTTGTAGATAGTACACACTGCTGCTACTGAGCATCGGTGGTGGAGGGAGCGGATGCTTGTGGATGTTGTGCCAATCAAGTGGGCTGCTTTGTCCTGGATGGTGTCAAGCTTCTTGTGTGTTGTTGGAGTGGCACTCATTCAGGCGAGTGGGGAGTATTCCATCACACTCCTGACTTCTGCCTTGTAGTTGGTGGACAGACTTTGAGGAGTCAGGAGGTGAATTACTCGCCAAGTATTCCTAGCTTCTGGCCTGCTGTTGTAGCCACTCTGTTAATGTGGTGAGTCCAGTTGAATTTCTGGTCAATGGTAACCCCCAGGATGTTGATAGTGGGGGATTCAGAGATGGTAACACCATTGAATGTCAAGAGGTGGTCTAGATTGTCTGTCTCTTATTGGTGATGGTCATAGTCTGGCATTTGTGTGGCATGAATGTTACTATGTTTGACTGTGTTGGTCTGTATTGTCGTACATGCAACGTGCTTTCTAAGTTGTCGCATTGCTGAATGTTGCATACTATTACTGTTGCTCTTGATGAGCGTGACATTTTGTATTCTGCTATTATTACACTATATTTATATTTCAGGATTTCATCTATATTGAATAGTATTGACTATTGCAATGTATTCCTCTTTATTGGATTTCATTTCTCAAAGCTTCTTCGCTCTCTTTTGCAATACTTTTGAAATTTTATCTACTTCAGTGTAAGCAGTTTGTTCAGTTGAGTTTAAATAGACTATGCTGCTCTAAGCTGTACTGAATTTTGTACCTTTCACTGCATGCTATATTGTGCTGTGCTGTTCCACAACAACGATGCTGCTTCATATCGTACCACTTTCCTCTGTTTTCTACTGTGTAGCTTTCTTTGATTTTATTTCTGTAAATTGATAGTCTGTAGTACATTATATTTGTGTACTGTACCATATTGTTGTGCTTTCCTTTGCATTACTCTAAATTAGAAAATAAAAATTAAGGTATCGTGGAAAACTGATTATTGATTTTTTCTGTTCAACTTGCATTTTGGATTTCTGCTTCACAATTTGGAAAATTATGCAAAATGTGAGATGTTCTATTGGTTTTAGTTGCTTGAGCAACTTCACTTTTATATTTCTTTATGGATGGATAAACTGTGGGGCATTGACAAAGCTGAATCCAGTCTCCCTATGGCCATCTGTAAACAACAAAGCCTGGTTATTACCCTGGATGACTCTACTCTTGGACTAATATAGAGTAAATACAATGATTTTACATGGGCACAGAGCATATTCAGACAGTAATCATTAATAGTTTCACAATGGAACCTGTTCACAGTTTAATGCTGATGAAAGTGCTCTGTATCAGGAGGCTAGACTCTGATAAAACAATTATGAAAGCTTTAGTCAATAACTGGAAAGCTGGGGCTAAACCTGAAGCTGGCTGCAGGGCTACAGATGTTGTCTGATCTCTGTTTCCTGAGAACTGAGCCTGACTATATTTCTAGAACTGCCTGGGAGACTGACATACTTCAATTCGAGAAAGATATTTTCCTGTAGATAAAATGGAGCGAAAGCGTCTTAAGAAGAAATTGAATCGTAAAGATGCAATTTTTAAAGTGCAGTTGAAATACTTGTTGAGTGGGTACTTGACCTTTCGCATGCTGAGTGGGTCAAGTAATGAAGGGCTTGGGGTTCAAATTAAGGTGGTAATAATTTCACAGTGACAAGCATTGTGCTGATTTGGTTGCATTGTATAGACCGGGGAGGGGGGGGCTTACATATTTGTTTATCTGTCTCTAAAGTTAAATAGACAGTAGCAATTGTTTACTATCAGGAGATTGACAGATTTTTCCTGAATCACAGGGTCAAACAGCATTTGATGTAGCAGATGAAAACCTCTTGGAAATGCTGGAGGAGCTACAGAAGAAACAAGCTATTGTAAGTATCTGACAGAGTGATGTACTGACGGCCGTTTCAGGCCATCCTGCTCACATACAGTAGGGACGAGTCTTAGGGTAAATTTCTTGACAAGGCTAAAAAGGCAGCTGACATCCCCTTAACTGTTGATTTAGTTTGGCAGGGAACCAAGGGGGTGGGATCTTCTTGTTCGCTATTTGATGAACTGCTTCCAACCACTGCCATATGTCCATAATTAGTAGACAAAAACCATTGCTAGAACCACAAATAGTATCGTAGGAAATCTCCTTTCAAGGAATATCTTCACCTCAAAACAACTTTGGGAAAGTCCACATGACCTCAGCATAATTCTGAAACCTGCTAGAAATTCCTTTAAAATTGTATATCTGTACAGTAGCCAAAATTAAGCAGATTATTGAATATAAAGTTTCTCATTTAGTTCGGGCTGGCTAAAGGGATTTTAGAATGTCTGTTAGGCTGGACTCTTTTTTTAATTGTTCATTTCTATTTAGAGGTCCTCTTCAATCTTGTTCTGTTCCTCATTTATACTCATTCTCCTGATTGTGGCAGGTTTTTCATCTCTCCTGTGAAATACAGGAAGCAGAAACTTTCAATGTTACTTTTGTATTGAGATTTTCTCTTGGTCAAATTTTAGGATTGTACAGTTTAATTGCCACGTTTATAACATGGGCTATATTTGACTTGAGATGGTTTCATAGGACTCTTGAGTTAGGAGCCTCTCTCAGCATCATATTCAGCCACATTCAATATAGTGCCATCTGTACATCTCAGCTCTGAGTCAGGTGTTTGTACATTTAAGTCCCTCTCCAGAGATTTGAACACACAATCTAAAGTGACACACGTGTGCAGTACCAGCAGAGAACTGCACTGTCTGAGGTGCTGCCTTTCGGATGACATGTTAAAGTGAAGGCTATATCTGTTGTCATGGGGAGTTATCAAAGATTCTGTGTCATCATCTGAAGGACAGCAGGGGAATCTTGGCCAATAAGTTTGCTGCAACCAATGCCAAACCTGGATGATCTTTTTGTTTTATCTTGTTTTTTTGTGGGACCTTGCTGTGTATGGACTGGCTGGTGTATTTCCAACATTACAATGACTATACTTCAAAATTATTTCATTAGTTGTAAAGAGCTTTTGGACAATGTGAAATAATGAAGAGGCCTGCATGAATGAATGCAAGTCATCTTTCGTTTAGCTGATGTAACAATGTTTGACTCAACATCATTGATGTTTCCCCCTTGTTGAACATTTAATGGTATTTATGTGTGTGTATGCGTACTGTACTACAGTGGTGGGTAGCGCGGAATGGGGTTTGCCAAGTGAGTTGTAATACTGGATTCATCATCCATGGTTATAATTCTAGAAGCACCAAAGTGGCAGTGGCAAAAGATGGTTCAAGATGTGAAGTTGATTTTCACTAATAAACCTGAGGCTGCATCTCTAGTGAAGCTAAGAAAACCATTGGTGTCAAAGAGAAGGCTGTTTATTGGTCAGATTTCTGAACAGGGCATTGGGAAAATGGCAAATGCCACTTTAAAATGCATTGCAGCAGTTAATGTGAAGCAATTCCATTGATAATCCAAGTTCATTCATCTGCTCCTGACAGAAAGAACACTGCATTTGGCTAGATAAGAATTCGACTTTCCACCTGACATTGACAGAGTTCTAGCAACTGGAAGCCTACTCAGTGCAATGTGGCGTGTTAAACAAACACTGGGAAGTGCAATGCAGCAGGCAAATCTCTCCAGTCTTCATAATGGGAAATCACCTCTGGCTTAGTATCTCCTCATGATTTGCATGTGAAGATGGCCAGTGATAGGGAGTGCAGTGTGCCGTGTTCATGTCAGTTTCTGTCTCCCTCATTCCAGTGCAGGGACCTGTTCCTGATGATCAGACGTGTGGTTGCATGCTAGCTAAGTTATCTAATAGCTGTAACTGCTTAAGAACAAAGGCGCAGCCAAACATAAAACAGTTGAGAGAGAGGGCATTTTGAACAGAGAGTGGGGTATAAGCCAATCCACAAAAAGAAATTGTGAAGGATTAGGTGGATAACGGAGATTCTGCCTTTAATTCTCAAGTTATCTGATTGATACTGCACAGATCCATATAACATGTTAAAATACTTAACACAATTCATTCTTCCCTACTTCCTGGTTTCCCAATTGCTCTTTCTACATGTTAGTGCTTGGTGTTGCACCAGACACTGATAGCAGTTATTTGGCATCGTGCTTTGGTCGTATGCTGACTGCAGCATCAGCGCACCGAGGTGCTGTAAAACCTAAGTAAGTCCTTATCCTCCAACAGAATGTACCTGCTGTAACCTGCAATCAAGCGGCATACTCTATTTGGGAGGCAGTGATTTATTGTATGTGAGAAAGTAATGCCCCTTTAGGAACAGATGCTGGTTGATCTGACTGCAGGCCCTTTGCTTCAAATTGAAGTGATCTCATTCTGATTTAAGAAAAGTAGGAGTGACACTGGCTGTGGGTTTTCTCCCTCCAACCCCCTTCCTTGACAGCACCAGAAAACACTGACTTCTTCAACACCTATACCAGTGTCCATTTAAAGGGAGGAGTTTTGTGATTCCAAAAATGCTGGGGAGACTTGGGTCCACCGTGGACATGAGAAATTGGAATTTGTCGAAATGGTTTGGCAGTGGAGAAGAAGTCTCACAGGCAAGTTCTCCCCAGGAGTTATCAGTGGATCTCGGGAGAGTAGTTGCTGTGGCACTGCTCCATTCACTTCCATGTTCCTCCAAGCTATTGAATGACTCTTCATTCTTTATTGTATTGCAAACAACTTGCATAGGTTTCTCTTAGATCCTGTAATCAATGGGGTTTATTATTGTTGTCTTAGTGACCAATTGTAGTGATTTTTTTTAATGGTTTGGACAAGATTCTGACATCCTGAATTGTGCAAATGTGGGCTATTGAGTTGGACCTTTTGTGGCCTTCTAAAACGTCCTTAGTGCATCTATTCCACTGAGTTAGAAGTATAGAAGCATATGAATTAAGTTGTATATTGTATTCTCTATCCTCTGTGCAAAACAAAAGATGAAAATGGAGAAGGAGAAACAAGCCAAGATGGAGGCCTCCCTGATTGAATTGTCGAATGCCTCACAGCAGCTTCCATCCAGGACCAGGAGGTTAGTTCGTGCTGAATTTGTCTCCATGATTCAACAGCATGTAGACTCACTGTTTGATGAGTGGTGTGCCAGTACTCACAATAACACCACTGGATTTTTTTTTTCAAAACTGTGGGCACAATATTCACCAATCAAGGAACTGAGCTAATGCTTAAAACAAAACACTCCTGTCCGTCCCCTCCTGCCACCTTCCCCTCTTCTCTCCCCACTGAAAGTGGGAGTATCAATACAATTCAAAATCAGTGCCAAAAACAGATGAGGCCATTTTGCAGAGCAAAAATGTTAAACTCTGGTTACCAGAGACAAATATCCAAGTGTGCCAAAGCTCAGTATGAAAGGGTCATGCTATCCATCTATGCTGAAATGAGAGATTTTGAATGAAACCATTATCAAATAGACGTGACATTTAACAGCTTTGACCTACCTGTTTAAAGGGCAGGGGAAATAGTTTAGATCTGCTGATGAAGGCATGATATTGGATTTTAAACTGTAGAAAAGTGCAGCCACTATAATGGTCATGGATATTGAATGCTCACAGGCTGTTTCTCTTAAATTTAATCAATTTTGATATTGTTTTACTATATTTTAATACTTCTAATTATTGCCATACAATTTAAAAATAAACTCATTTGGTTGAGATTTTAAAGTTGATGTCAAATGTTCCAGGAAATGCTTAAGACCACTTCCAACGCACACGCACACACTCTTAACTTAATTTGTACCTGTAGTTGACCACCTCCCCTGTCCGCATCTTAGGCCCTTTTCAGTTACAATATAACAGCCAGTTGCACAGCAGTACTGGTAGGAGCCTGGGAGATATATTTCCAACTTGCCACCAGGCCCATAAGTGATTTGTGTCATTGCTTGAAAATTGCGGCACACCTATGGATTAGTGTTGCTTTTTCTCTGATCAGTACAAATGGAGCCGAGTTTCCTGTGATCTCTAAGTGGCAGCTGCCAGGTGCTACAAGAGTGTGGAGTTGAAGATGTACTGGGAATCTTGTGTGTGAATGTCTCGCTGTTCTAATATCCAGAGTACAGTGCAGCCCTCTTTCAATTGAGTTTGTACCAGATGTTTTTTATGAAAAGAAAGCAGTTCATTGCTGCAATTCTAAAAATGCACAGAAAATAAAATACTGCCGTTTTCCTTTCCTTTCACAAAATACTTCAACTGCAGTTTTTCTTTGAAAAGTGTGCTAATAACCCCCAGTGGTCACTTCAAGTACTGCATCAATCTTTCAATCCCAGCTCTGTATGAAAGCAGACCTTGTGCCAGCATAACCGTGCTAAGATAGACCATATGCAGTCAGCTGTTTCAGTGAATGCTTCGCATTGGGTGGGAAGGTTGTGTATTCAAGCCCCACTCTAGGACTTGAATGCCTAATCTCTGCTGATACTAAGGTGCATTATTGAGAAAGTCCTGCATTGTATGAATTATTGTCCTTCCAGATCGTATTTTAAACAGAGTTCCTTTCTGCCACTCCCACTGCTGCTTGGCCAAATTACCACCATTTAATTTCAAGGTGATTCATCCCATGTGAAGCCCATGGAGAAAATTTGGGAACCATGAGGTGTTTCAAAAGTGCAAATCCTATTTCTTTTAACCATGCTGTCTTCACAAGTACTTGAACCTCTGAAACGAACTTGTTGTTCACTATTTCCTTCTCATACTCTGCCCGGTCAAAAGCTTCAGAATGGCCTTCCCAAACCTTCCATCCAATATTACATATGACAAGTGAGATCTCTATGCGTTCTATGCCCTTTGATCTTTACTCCTGTTCATAAAGCTCTTTTCATCATAAACTATCCTCAACTATTTATTTTCTTAACTAACTGAGCTACTGGAAGGAAATTTTTCTATTCTTTGCTATGGATATTTGGTGAAACAGCATTAACTGATACAGCTTGGGGGCAATTCTGCATCTCCATTGCGCTCTTATGAAAAGCAAGAGCCCTTCTAGTCCAGAAATGTGCTTTTCCCTGGTTAATTATTATTCTCCTTGTTCTGTACTCGAGTATGTTACATGATCTGATTACATCTGCATTATCTATCCCTTTCAGTGTTTTAAAAAAAAACAATTCTTGAGTCATTCAATTTTTCTCTAGTGAAAACCCCAGTTTGAGTTCTCTAAAATTTGTACTGAAACTTAAGGGCCCTGAGTCTGTTACTAATTTTTCATATTTATGTCACTTTGAAGATGGTGTTTAAACTGGAAAACTGTCAAAGTATCAGGTCACAAATATCCTTACATAGTTAGAATAATCTACGTAAAGTGAAATCATACATCCTTGCGATAGATTCCTGCACATGTTCACTCTGTTTTAAGATTGAGACAGCTAGGTGAAAAACCAATCTTGAAAAGAGTTAGCACAAAGATATCAAAAATTTTTGGTTAAAGATCAAAGAACGTAAAAAGCTGGCAAGTGTAAAGCAGTAAGGTGTCCCGTAGTTTGGAAGTTTTGTAAAGGAATGATCGTCGGATCATTCATTTGAATCTTCATTTGAACACAGTGGAGCTATAAGGAAAAGACTGAGAGCACACAATGTTGAAGCACAAAGCATAAAAGTGGAAAGCTGACAGGATCCCACACCACAATTGTGTAAATATTGTTAAGACAAAAATATCATGCCTCTAATTTGAGGGAGAAAGTCCAAAGACCAGCAATGCAAGTGGAATTGTCTTTCCAAATCAGCCATTCTTGAGCCTTCTTCAGTAAATGGGAGAAGAGATATGCTTACACAAAAAGGAGAGGAGATGAGGAATGATGAGAAAATGGTAATCTGAATGAAACTGATCATGGTACAGTGGGATTACAAGCAAAGATTGGGCTGGATAAAAAGTGGAAAAGGCCACTGCTTTGAAGGAGAAACGACTGAGAGCCCAGGGGAGTGGAAATATATCAAAGGATAAGTTGCCAACAACAACGCAAATGCAATGATTAATGCTATAAACTGGGTGGTCATGAATAGTGGGCTGGTGCTGAGAACTCCACACTGATTTGTTCAAAACTGCGCAGGGTCAGAGCCGGACAAAAGAATTATGTTCAGGCAGAGATGTTTAAGTGTGACAAGAATAATGGAATAATGCTGCCATTAAACATATCAGTGAGTGTGAGTTCAATCAGAACTTTAAAAGTAATAGATGATTTTATTCACAGCTTCCAAGGTAGTTTAAAGGATAAGAACACTTAAATTTTCTTAGCAATTTGGTGAAAATGTGAACCTCCTGGGTAAGCATGACGAGGAGAATAAGAGTTTACAAAGATGATGTAAAACAAGCACAGCTTGCAGCTGGTGGGACAGATTATAGCATGACCAAAGGTCTTATTGGACTGTAGGATGAGATGCTCCTAATTGATAAACTCGGGATGAAACTCAGTGACCAATATAGCTGAATGGAATCGAGGAAATAAGAAGGTTTATTGTAAAGATAGAATAGCTAATAGCTAATAATATAAGAGATCTTTCCAAATGGAGAGACCTCCATTGTGTTCATGCTTTATTTCCCTGTTACAAAGTACATCCAATTAAATTTATTTAATATTAAAAACAATTGACTAAATTCCACTTGGATCAACATAATTTCATAAATATTCACTTTGACAATCTGAGCCATTTAGTCGTGTTTGTTAATTTATCAGTTTTAAAGAAGAACAATGTTATTTATAAATCCTGTTCATAGAGAGCTGGGAATCTAAAGTAAGTTGTGGACAACTCCAGTCATGAACACTCCCAAGACCTTTTCCATTTAACATCCCCTCTTCAATCATCTTGACTCCGTTTCAAATCTAACCAATTTACCCACAAATGAGATTTAATCATCTCCACGGCTTCAAGTGTAAAACTTTATCAGATACCTTCTAGCTAAGGGCTCTTGTTGTGCAGTACTTCTGAACCAGAAAACCCAGGTTCAAGTTGCACCTACTCCAGAAGTGTGCCGTAAAATCTCCTGTACTTAGGTGTATAAACAATTTGAATAGGTTTGAGAGATGTGACACTTGCTTCAATATTCTTGCTGCTGACTGCTTTAACCTGCAGGTTCCCTCTATAATTCTGGTGTTTCTAATGCACTTGTTCCTTAGCAAAGTGATCTATCTTTTCCCTATCTACCCTGAGCCCATCCAGTTGTACCATCCTGCTTCTAACTCTTGTAAGAATCCTAAATCTCATTGCTATTTTTTCATCTCTATCTTTCAAAACATACCACATATTAAATTGGCAGCAACTCGGTCATTCGATCATGTGACTACCAACGGGGCTGACAGAAGGCAAACTAGATGAACCTTGAACATTTATTGTCCACTAATTTATATGCTCCAAATCAAAGCAATTTTTCTTTAAATTCAGAGCTGCTTTATTTATGCTCTGAATATTTTGATATAAAGGAATACGCTGAGAGGAAAAAATACTGGGCAGCAAGGAGTGTTGCAGTGCTATGTAATGAAGAGGAATCCACTGTGTGCTGAGGCCTGGCCTTGTGCAAGTTAGCTGGAAGTCGGCTGCACTGTATCAGCTTCATCACTGGACAATGAGAGTGATGCCTCGCCCAGTAAAACGCTGTGCGAGGATAGCCTGTGGGCCCGAATCAGGGGTTCACTGATTGATTGTTTTGTGCTTTGAGATCCAACAGGGTACAAAAGAACAACTCCAGCATTCCCCCAGATGTAGGCGGCAGCACTGCAACAGCTGTGTGGTGCCCACTTGACCTTGCAAAGAAAGGTAGTCACATTTTTAAGAATCACAATACAACATGACTAATAAACAAGTTAGGCCCGGGAATGAAAGAGAGCATAAAAGAATACTACTATGCAAAGGGGAGCTGTGAAAATCTTATGAAACAACAGAAGAGATCTTGGGAGTGCATTACATAAGAATTCAGAGCTGAGCGTGTACTAGAATTGAGGTTTAAAAGTGCAGAATGATTGTAAGAAATGAGAGTAAGATTTGCTGTAGAGAGGTCGCAAAGAGTTGCCCTGTGTCGACGCCATCTTGAATCCATCAATGTAGCATAACCGAGAGCTGGAAGTGTATGGTACACAATGATGGAGAGCAGGGGACAACAGAGGATAGCAATGTTCTCAATATATTATGTACAGAATGGCAGAAAATCAACAGCATGCTTTACACGGGAGCTAAGGACAGATTACACATTGAATAGGAATGTGTTGGGAACATGTTACAGGCAGGACTGTAGATCTGCAATTGCCAAGCACCAGGTGATGGAGCTAGGAATATACATCTCTCATTTAGAGAGTGGGAAAAAGTGGTTGCGCAGGATAACAGACTGAGTTCCATAAGGAAAGAGAGAGCTGGGAGCAAATTGTTTGAAAATATGGATGCAATAATGGAACTCTGTGTTAAGTTTGTCAGCCATTGAGATCAGCACCCCCTTATTTGCAGTGCCTGCTGGAGAATGGCTCCTTTATACCCTGTTTGAGTTTTGTGTCTAACCCTGAAAGATGGAACTTGCTGACCATGTCCTGGGCTGCACGCATCACACTAACAGCCAACCAGAGCTAATCCGTTATCCCACCAGGACTTCTATTTCCCGTATGAGCAGCAAAGATAAAATCTCAATGCATGAGAAAGAACGCAAGACCTTACAGTCTGTAATGCTGGAGCATGTCAATGATGAGGAAGACAGGAAGAAGTTGAATGGCTCAAGTTCTGAGGAGGAGATGCCGTATGAAGCTAAATCAGAAGCTGGTAAGTCAAAGGCCTTTTCTATTGGTGGGGGCAGGGATTTAATGATCTCACTTTGCAGATGAGCACGGGGCTGGGTGTGTTCTTATTTCCTGCTACACTGTCATGCACATGATCCTCAATCCCGAGATTTCACTCAAGCTGGGATTCTGTACTCATTAGCTTCTCTGAAGAAGGATCTTCGTGGAACACAGCTAACAGGTAAAATTATAAGGCCAAGAACATTTTAAAAAGAAGGAACCTGCTGCACGATTCAATAAGATCATAATGAAATTCTGCATCAATTCCACTTTCCCATCCCATCTTAATTTCTGTTGATTGTCTCAATGCCCAAAAGTGTATTCTAAAAGTTGAATCTGCTCAATGACCATAGTTTTCAAACGTGAAGGTGCTATCATTGACATATCAAATTCAGAAATTATGGTCTTGCCTGTATTGGGGAACCAGGCAGCAGCCGAAATACTCGGCTCCAGGAATATCAAATCAACTTCAAATATGGTGAATAGGTCAGCTAGGTCAAATACACTCTCACCTTAATAAGCACCATATGCAATTGTCCAACTCCAAATTTATTTCCTTCACCAAACTGGCCTACAAGACGCATCAGGAAGGCAATGGAGATCAATAATGTCTGGCTATCTTCACTCAAAACACCATTCTATGTAGGTGACAACACCGTGTGGAGCTGGAGGAGCACAGAAGGCCAGGCAGCATCAGAGGAGCAGGAAAGTTGACATTTCAAGTCAGGACCCTTCTTCAGAAATAGGGGAGGGGGGGGAAGGGAGCTGTGAAATAAATAGAGAGAGGAGGGGTGGGGCTGGGGAAGGTCGGTGGGATGGTGATAGGTGAGTGCAGGTAGGGAGTGGTGGGGATTGGTCAGTGAGGTGGGTGGGGTGGATAGTGGGGAAGAAAATGGACAGGTTGTGTCAGGTCAAGGAGGTGAGGATGAGTGGGACGGTTGGACATGGGATGAGGCCGGGGCTGGGGAGATTTTAAAACTGGACCAGAACTTCTCCCCCCGCCCCCCACCCTCCCCCCTCCCCCTCCCTCCCCGCTCCCCCTCCCTCCCCGCTCCCCCTCCCTCCCCGCTCCGGTAATCAAAAATGCTCTCAACTGCATCTCTTAGATTTCCTGCACTTCTGCCCTCACACCCCCTCCCCGTCAATACAAATAAAGACAGAATCCCCCTTGTCCTTGCATCACCCCACCAACCTCCGTATCCAACATATCATTCTCCACGACTTCCGCCATCTACAATCCAACCACACAACCAAAGAGATATTTCCCTCCCCACCCCTACCTGTCTTTCGTAGGGACCGCTTACTCCGCGACTCTCTCATCCGCTCCACTCCCCACTAGCCCCACCACCCCCACCACCCCCAGTACCTTTCCCTGCAACTGCAGGAAGTGCTACACCTGTCCCTACATCTCCCCTCTCACCTCCGTTCAAGGTTCAAAACAAACCTTTCATATCAGATAGGGGTTTAACTGTACATCTGTCAACTTGGTCTACTGCATTCGCTGCTCCTGATGTGGCCTCCTCTACATTGGTGAGACCAAGCATAGACTCGGAGACTGTTTTGTAGAGCATCTACGCTCTGTATACGACAAACGACAACACCTTCCGATTGCCAACCATTTTAACTCCCCCTCTCACTCCCTGGGTGACATGTCCATCCTGGGTCTCCTCCAGTGTCACAATGACACCACCCGGAAACTGGAGGAGCAGCACCTCATATTCCGCCTCAGGATCCTACAACCCAATGGCCTAAACGTGGAATTCAGCAGTTTTAAAATCTCTCCACCCCTGGTCTCATCCCCACCTCCTCGACCTGACACAACCTGTCCATCCTCTCTCCCACCTATCCACCTCACTCATCCCACTGACTAATCCCCAACACTCCCTACCTACACTCACCTATCACCATCCCACCTACCTTTCCCCAGCTCCACCCTTCTCTGTGTCTTTATTTCCCAGCTCCCTTCGCCCTCCCTATTTCTGAAAAAGGGTCCTGACCTGAAACGTCAACTTTCCTGCTCCTCTGATGCTGCCTGGCCTGCCGTGTTCCTCCAGCTCCACACTGTTGTCTCTGACTCCAGCATCAGCAGTTCTTGCTGTCTCATTCTATGTAGGTGACCAATCAGCAGTAAGAATGTTAGCGTGTGCAGACTAATCAGCAGTAAGAATGTTAACATGTGCAAACCAGTCAGCAGGAAGAAGCTAAGATGTATTTGACCTATTACATACACTGTAGCCTGAACAGAAAGTCTTGCCCCTGTTTTCAACCTCCACTAAGCCACTACTTCTTCCATCCATTCCTCCAAGGGGTAGGCTCCCTGAAACGTGGAGGTTGATCAGTTCTTCAAAGGACCTTTTGAGTAAACAGCTGCTCTGTTGAGAGCAAGCTTTTTAGAAGGCGGAATAGTAAATCTATCTTGGTCAATGTTATTGCTCTCAAAGTAAGTGAAAATCCCGAAACAACCTCTGGAAAACCTAAAATTGCACCATTGAGTAAAACACTGGGAATGGACTGGATGGTGTTGAATTAAAGATAAGTTTGGATGATGAGAACTAATGTAATTACTTTGTTGCTATGTTAAGGACATTATTGTTGATGGAGACACTCGATCCTACAGGGCTCCACCTATTGATAGCATGATGCATGTTTGTGGGACGGGAAGCTAAAGTTCAGCCTTGTCTGACTCATATTGTTGGTTGTTGACTATTAATTGTGTCATTTTTTTTTTGGTTTGGTAGAGAAAACAAAAGCCCGACTCAACATGAACAACCTCAGCACCAAACTAAGCATGACTGACTCCATCCTTCCATCCTCCACTGCACCCAGTGGAACCAACAAGAGGGTATGTGACATGCAAGAGGAAATGTTTGCAGTTTGAGTTTGCATTCTGCAGCGCTATCTCCTTTTTCAGTTTGCTGTTTACATGAATACATCCAGGATCTTGGGATGGAAACTAGTGTGGTGTGTTTTTGCTTATGGTTTGACATTTTCTCCTTTCTTTTCATTAATAATCAAACAGAAAGTCTGCTCTACTGGAAATGCTTTACTGCGCTCTATGATAAATGCAGCTTGCTTATTTTGAGAAGGATGCTCCTTAGTTGCTTACAGCAATGAATGCTGCACAGGTTTCTGTTCTGTTGGATCATGCCAGACTCCTGTTGAGAGTTGCAGCATTTTGTTGCAGGAAATGCAGCATTGTTTGCTGTACCACTGCAGTTTCATCTTAGCATCTAAATGCTAAGACGAGTATTTTGCATTGTGTTGTGTGGATTGCTGCAAATTGGTTTTGTACGAAAGACTGCATTGTTTTGAGTGAGCTGTGCTGAATTATTTGTATTTGCAAATGATGTAGAACAGTATGTTATGTGAGCTTCTGTACAGTTTGAGGGATGCTGCATTGCTCCTTGGTCTAAGGGATATGATGAGACTTTTTTTTTTGGAGCTTTTGATCTTGAACACCAGGTCAAAGGCAAGAATGCTAAATTTTGAACAATTTATACTACAGGAGAACAGCTGATTGGTTGCCAAGTTGATTTGTTGAAGCAGAAATCAACAGGTAACTATAGGTTCCCACGCTCCTAAGCATTTCAAAACAGATGCAAGTCTTAAACATATATTCCTTTTGTTTGCAGAGGACAGATCCCTGCCAATGAATGTGTCTTTACTAGCAAACGTTACAAGCTCGGCTAATTATCTTAACTTGGTTGTTAGTGTACCTAGGAGCACACTCAGGATTATTCAAGTGGTAACTGATTGCTAAATCACACTCAATGGCAGGTGTTTTGTTTTATGTTTCACAAGTAAGCTGGTTGAGCAGAATCTATACTCTGCCCATTACAAATAGCCACAAAGGATTTTTTTTTGATTCATCATCCAATTGTTGGGATGGTTGGTCTACGTACTTGGCAGCTTCACTGGCACTAAAATCTGCCATTATTGCTCAGTTGTGTTACGCATAATCATTCTTTGTTAACTTAGCAACTAATCAGCACCTCTTCCACCCTCTGTTTTTGTTTGAAATTTGCCTTCATAAGTACATGATGAAAAACTTCAACGACATGTCTCCCTTTTCCATTGCCTAGTGATTATTTCCTAGAGAGAGTTCCTTTTCTAAGAGTTGCTGTGATGTGATTCTTCTTATCAGGGACATTGCTTAGTTTGGTTTTGTGTTGTGAAAGATATCTAATTAAAGTTTTTCAGAAGACTTGTAGCTCAGGTTCTGGATAAGGTTGTTGATTTGTTAGCCGAGCTGGTAGATTGGTTTGCAGACGTTTCATCACCATACCCTAAGTAACATTATCAGTATACCTCCGATGAAGCTTCACGTACCTAATTGTTCCTCTTGGTGAATGAGGTTGCAAGCATGCAGAGACAAAGAATAAGGCCAATCTTCGTAGAAATCATAGAATCCTTACGGTATGGAAGGAGGCCATTTGGCCCATCGAGTCCACACTGGCCCCCCAAAGACCATCCCATCCAGACCGAACACCCCTATCTGTACACCTCTGATTTTCCCACAGCGAATCCACCTAAACCACACATTCCTGGACATTATGGCCAATCCACTTAACCTGCACATCCCTGACACATCTACTTAACCTGTGCGTTTGGACTGTGGGAGGAAACCACATCACCCAGAGGAAACCCACGCATACACAGAGAGAATGTGCAAACTCCACACAGCCACCCGAGAGTGGAATCAAACCCAGGTGGCTGATGCTGTGAGGGAGCTGTGCTAACCACTGAGCCACCATGCCGCCCTAATCTTGCTGCTGCAAACAATCCTGCGTTGTTCCCCTTTGTCAGGCATGTTGCCTTTTCCCACGGGGGTGTTTTCACTGCTTCATTTGGCACTCTACATCAGATTTGCTCCAGAGGCAGAGTGCATTTTGTCTTTTTGTGAGAGATGACTCAATGGCCAAGAATTTTTTCAGAACTGTTCCTTTTCCATCTCCGTCACTTTGGTGAGGATATTCCCAGCCATTGTTTTCTATGTTGTTTCCTCTTGCAATCTGATGTCATTGTTTTAGCTGTAATTAATGCTGCTCTCTCTCCTGTGATGTTTCGTTGTGAAATAGGCAGCGTTATTTCTTTGTCACGGCATTGCGTTATTTCATGTTGCTGTGATGTTTCTTCTGGTGAGTGAGGCATTCCTTTCTCTTGCAAGGCATTTTTTTTCTTGCTATGATAGATCGTTGTTGGATGCTGTGCATGGTTTCCATTTGCAGATGTTCCGTTGCCTCCATTTAAAGTGTGTGAGGCATGGGTTTTTAGCTGCTGAGGAATGCAGCATTACTTTGTATTTCGGGGGATAGTTGATTCCCGTTGAAGGGTACAACCTTGTTTTATTTTTGTGTGGGATGCTGTTTTATTTCCTTTTTGGTTTGCTGCATTAATTCCTGCAGCAAGTGAAGCACCAGTTGCAGACGATGGGTGCGTTATTGCCTCTAGCAACTGTTGTGTTACAAATGTACATACCTATCTTAACGCAGTAGCATTTTGTAGGTCCCTGGTCTGTAGTTTGCTTGTACTATGCAATATTCAATTTATACACTGACCTAAGTGAGGAGTATAGAAATAGACCTTCCTTCAAGTTTTGAACTTAACAAACACTCAGACAGAGTGAAATCAGCTTGCTATAACCTACACAACAACTGGACCAGATAAAGTAGCATTTTTAAATCGTTAACTTTTATGCCTGTGTTAAAATGTGTTTTGTATACTCCCAAATTAATTTTCCCTTTAATTAGGCCAATCTCTAGAGGTAGCTCAGTGTCCAGCTCTGTCCAACTCCTCCTATCAATCTGTCAGGAACTGACTGATCAAGTTTCTTGTGTTTTTTTCCTGATTTGTGAACTTGAAAGGAAAAGTTTGCCCCTTAACTCTTTATCATGTCTTTAATATTATTTATCTTGCACAGCTGAGGAATATTTAGTGTATTCTGGATTAAGGAAAATATTTATTTAAGAGCCATCGCACTATGTCTTCATCCTACCGCAAGACTGCAAGAGGGCAAGATTGTGTGACGATGCATCACTGTCTGTGGGTTCCATGTCTCATTGGTGTATTACAGAGACTTAACCTTTTATACTGTAACGTTTAGGGCTTGGTTTGCCAAACTGTCAGTCAACTCCTCTCTGTGCTTCAAAGGGCAGATATTTATCTCGCCATTCCAGCACTTGACATTTGCTAAGCTCTGATAAATGCCAATCGTGTTAGGTTTCTGGGAGCCTGTAGAATGCAAGGCTACCTCCATTTCCCAGATGGTAGGGAATGTATCTGTACTATAATCAATTAAGTCTGATTTATATGCTAAGATGACATAGAATATATCGTCATCGGAAATGTCGTATGTAATGTCAAATGATCTTGCTGTCTTGCCTCCTTAAGGCAAGATGAAGCCACAGTAAGATGGCTCTTAAATTAAGTTGATATTTTTCTTAACTCAAGCTCTGATTTTTGTTTTATCAGCATGAGACCAAGAAGATTATAGTAATTTAACAGTTTGGCTCACTTGCCTCAACTTAGCTACAAGTTGACTAATTGTTGCTTTTTTTAATACCAATGCAGTAATATTGAAATAATTCATTTCCAAATCCTTGCAATGTAAAAATAATCAAAAAATAAATTCTGTTCTGTTCTGCAGGATGTTGCCATACATTCTCCTGCATTTTTGCAGCGGTATTGTTGCACAGATTCAGGAACTAAATGCTGGCTTTTGCCATGTGTATGTACAATTGCCCATTTGGCATGCTGAGCTTTCTGTTGAGGTGAGCCGTTGTTTTTCTTCTGCAGATGATTATGCATTTCTTTTTCTCCGAAAGAATGCCACACTCATTCCTGTCAGCTGCATGGATTTGTGGCATTACCAGTGGTAATATGCACTGAGTTGCTCTCAGTCAGGCTGAGAATTATTTGTGGCGTTTTCTGTTGTATGGAATACTGCATTGTTTTGTGAAGTTCAGAGATGGAAATACGAGTAAAATGAGGAAACAATGGTGTGATTTGAACAGGAATTTTGTAGGGAAGGTATACAAGATGAGTTTGTACCAGTTCTGTTATCTCCAAGTTTTAGTATTTGTTCCTTTTTAGGGTGATTGTCTCATTCTCTGGAATAGGAAACAAAATTGCATTCAGGAGCAGACACTGTATGTTTCCTTTTGCAAGGAATTTTAGATGGATTCCTTTCCAGAGAGGTGCCTTTGTTTGCAAATATTCCTGTTGTTAGAAAGGAAAACTCACTGTTCGCTGTTGCATTTGATGGTCTATTTACTTTGCTGTGGGGTGCCAACATATTGCTTGTTGCGAAACTTTGCAGGAGTTCCTCATGTGGTGCTTTGCTACCAGTGAGGGATGCTACGTTTTTTCCCCTTTTGTGAGTGTAACATAACAATTTGTTCAAGTACGATGCTTTGCTTTGTTTGCAAGAGATCGTGTAGTGAGAGTGAGTTGTCTTTATTTCTGCTTGTGAGTTGATTAAATGGTGTGAAGCACCCAGCATTGTTCTGATGTGAAGAGCATGCTATTTTTCTGTTCCTTTGCAACGGACTCCCCCTTCCACCTTGCACGTGGACCCCAGCTCTCTTTTCCCCCAGTCCTCCTCAGTACTCCCCCACCAATGTCTCCCAACAACTTAAACCCACCCCCCCACCCCACAAAACATGCACAACTTCTAATAATTGTTTGATTAAATGAAAAGTAAGGAATGGGTTTTCATAAATGGAGGAAAATCTTCACCAGGTTTTGTTCCATTGATAAATGCTCCCTGACATATTTAATGTCTGGTGAATGATTCAAAGATGTATAATGATTAATTCGTGGAATGGATTGCATGATATGTAATTTTGGATTTGAATTGATCGAATTATGTGTTTATATTTAGGGGTTTTAATGTTATCGACAGAATGAGGATGTGATCCTCTTCTGTGCTTTTTCTTGCCCCCTTGACACACTATCACTCTACCTCTCTCTCACTCTCATCCATACCTCACCTGCCTTTCTCTTTCTCTCCCTTTGCTCTTCCTCTGACTGCAGTTTGACTTCATTACTCCTTTCCTACCTTTTTGTCAGCCAAGTGACCCAACGTCATGGCGACAGGGCCTGCGCAAAACTGGTATTGTCTTGGTGCCCCAGAGAGGTCAAAGAGCAGTGGTGAGCTTCTTGCATGCTGAGGTTTCCCATCTCCGAGTTTTTGGTTTGCTGCACGAATATGTCATTGTCCTGCATTTCTATTTCTTTTGGTCTTCCTCTTTCTTTAAGCCTACTAGATTTCAGGCCAGCTAGTTCCCGCAAATGGAGCCAAGCTGACTTCTGATTTCCAAATGAGAGCAACAGATACTCTGGAACTCTACAAGCTAATCTCTTGTACATTTTCACTTAATCTGTGCTTTTTCTTTTTTCTCTGGATACAATTTCCCATCTCCATATATTCCTGAAATTAAGAATCTGGGAATTGCTGTGCAGCACACAGTTAATTCCTAACTCTTGAGTTGGATGGATGGCAGCTATGTGTGGATCTTTGAGTGTTTTGATTGCTTCCATCTCACCTATTTACCTCCCTGTGGATCATCGGGAAAAAAAGGGAGTGTGACCTTTTTGAATGCAAGTGAAAGAGTTGTTATGCTTGTTGCCTTGTGAAAATAGGTTGAAAAGTGCTGTGAGGATATGTGTTGCGTAGGAGCATGGAAATGGACAGGCCAATAAACATTGCAGTTTACCTGGCTACTCTCAAGATTCAAAAATTACCAAACACAATTCTATCTCTCATGCCTACTGCTCACTTTCTCTGCTAAGTCTCTGTGCCAGTCCATTTTGAACCTTTCCACACTCTTCAACTCAACTGTTCTTTTCTCTCCGGTCCATGTTATGAGGCACTCTCCTCTGAAAAGTAGTTAAGTCGAAACTGTTCACGTTCCTAATTCCAGGAATATGTGGCTGCCCGTTAATTGTAAAGTTAGTGATTTCCAAAGAGTTTATAAAGCTTCAATTTGTTTGAACACCCTAATATCTCTTCTCCAATCACTTTCTCCTCCAGTGTGGATACTACCAATTCTCATGATCTCTTCATTCCCAAGTGTCTGATGCAAAGTAGCGGCTGTTTCTATCTCAAGAGGTCCCTGCTGTAATGTGACAGGCAAGAGTAGTGCAGAGCTCTGGATGTGGCCAGGCAGGTTGTTTGTAGAAGTTCATTGTTACCTTGTGTGCACAACAGAGTAAACAAGCTACTACCAGAACACCAGACTTTCCCTCCCCTTACATACTGCAGTCGAATACTGTGCGTGATACACTTCCACTGTTTATTCTCCTTCCAAAGTCTGATTATTTTACACTCTCCAATTTTAGGCAACTTCCACTATTTGGCTGAACTTCACAGATAGTATATTGCTGTTTATTTGACCCTTTGTTCACTTATTTATTGCTGTTCTTCCCCCAGATTTGGTATTATCAGCAAACCTATGCAGCTTTGATTCTATTCCAAGTTTAAACCCTTCATGCATATGGAGTAGCACTGACTAAATCCTTATCCCTAAGATGCATCACTGATAGTCCATCTTTAGAAACAATGCAAGGCAATGAAAGTTAACAATACACAGATATCAACGATCAGGGAAGCTACGGACAGCCAAAGGACATTGCAGCCCTCTCACAAGTATCATGCAAGCTTAGTGGTTGTGGTCTCTGACTGTAATTCAAATGCACAAGATTTAACAACATAGTTTTTTAATGCACCTTGTGGTCCCCTGATTGGTGTGGATTACCAATCAGTCCCCCGATTGTTATGAATTCACGTGGTGTTGCCATTCAAATCCTGCTTATACTCAAACGTTTGCAGAGTTTCACTCAGTCCCTCCTACGCCTTGATGCTAATGGGAGGTAAGTCCCTGTCCTTTACTGGCATATATTATTTGCTGCCTGTGCTTCAGTTTGCTTTCCACTTCCATTGGTCATTCTTTTGGCTCAAGTTTAGTTTTAGCTTTAACTGGCCACTTCCATCACTTAAACTATTCGTTTTATGCATTCATCCCAGGGAGTCAGCTGCTTCTATGTTCAAAGCATGAGTAGTAAGTATATGCAGAATGGTTTAGATAGAGGAGGACAGTGAAGAATAAATGCTGAACACTGGAAGAAAACATCCTCTGGCCACTAATGAGAACAAAATTGCAAATGTCTCCGCGAGTATTTCACTAGCGCTACTTGAAGATGTCTTTGCCACAATGTTGTTGGCACACGTTGACCAGAGGAAGTCTTCTCCAATATTGTTAGTGCTTTATTTTATGGTTCAGAATATATTTTTGGGAGGGTTGCTGCAGACTGTTTCAAATCAATAAACAATAGAAACTGGAGCAGGAAATTCTGTTCAGCCTTTCAAACTGCTCTGTGATTCAATAAGATCATGGCTGATCTGCTTGTGATCAGAGTTTCACATTTCCATCTATCTCCAAAGACCCTTGATATCCCCTTGTCTAAATTGAATGTATCTACCTCTGTCTTAAAACCAATGACCCTGCCTCCATTACTGACAGAATTCCAAAGTTGCACACCCTTCTGAGAGAGAGAAATTCTTGCATCTGTCGTTAAAGGGTGATCCCTTGCTTGAAAACCAGGCCCTCTAATTCTGCACTGACCCATAAGAGGAGATGTCTTTTCCTATCGATCCTGTCAAGACCATTCAGGATCTTAGAGGTACTTATCTTCTTGGATGTTACCAGACATCATAGAGTTCCTTTGTTATTTTTCTGCCACTGGAAAGTAGAGGGGGTTGGGCAACAAATGTTGACCACTGCCGGGTCTGATATCAGAGGAAGAGAAGGCGCTCCTAGCTCTTCCAGCTATTAATGTTGGTTTGGCTTCACTATGGTCCAATAGGCTGTATTTTGCTTCTATGAGCCATGAGGTAGTTTGGTTGGGTAAGAGACACAGGAGACAACAGAAAGACTAAGGGATGCATAACTTCTTGTGGAAAATGAACCTGTCCCTATTACCCCAAGTATTAAAATGGTAGGTTTCTCCTCTTGATGTAAGGCTGAGTGAGCTGTAAACACCTCCAACTGCTCCCATCAGAAGCAATTCAGTTTCTTCCCAAACTATCATTCCAATGGGAGGTAAGTCGTCAACGTTTAACGGCATATTTTCTTTTCTGCCTGTGCTTCAGTTTGTTTTCCGCTTCCATTGGTCATTCCTTAGACTCAAATTTGGTTTACCTCTCGCTGACAGCTCCTGTCACTTAAACTGTCACCCTTGTGCAACCAGTTTACAGGCCCTGCTGCCAAACTGGCTGCGCAGGATGAGGAGAAGAAGGAGCAGCAGTCCCCTGCAGCATGGCGTACTGCCCTCCGCAAAACAGGCAGCTACGGAGCCCTCAACAACTTGCAGCCGCCACGGGAGGAGCAGAAGGGAAAAGACGCAGGCATTGTCCGATCAGCATCTAGTCCCAAACTGACTCTGGCTGAAACCAAGGAAAAGGTATGTGGGAGGAAATGTTGAAACCATTGTTTGAGGGAGATTTCAGTCTGTCTGGCCCTTGGATGGACAGTTCCCACCTGAATATTGCACTGGCCTGGTACATATGTCAGTAACCACTCGGCATTGATGAAAGATTAGTAAAAGAACCAGTTGAGAATCTTTTCGTGCATAAAGTTGGCATAATCTGGAATGCGTGACCCGAAAGGGTGATAGAAGCCTAATTCAAGAATAACTTTCAAAAAGGAAGTAGATTACATTTGAGAAAAAGTAATGTTTGCAGTGCTGAGAAGAAAGAGCAGGAGTGTGAGGCTAATTGGCTGGTTCCTTCAGAGAGCTGACACAGGGATGAAGGGCCGAATGGCTGCATTCTACATAACAAAGCTCTTTGATTCCTGTTGCAGTGCGTTGCCACGGATGCTGCTTTTTCTTTGTTGCAATAAGGCACTGGATAACTTCAGGTCCAAAAGCCAGAGAAGTGACTCTTTTGACCATGCCTAGCCTCCCTAAAAAAATCCAGGGCACCAACATGGTATTGCTATTGTCACTGGATTAGCCATTAGCTGACTCAGCACACTGGGCACCACCAAATCCTCTTTTGAGAGCGGGAACAGGAGGCCTAGCCCTTCTCCACTGGGAGAAATCATAGTAAGGGGCCCAAACAGTGACAAGGTAACCTCTCGGCAGAAGTGGAAGGGACAAAGGCCAGCCACTCCTTTGGGGAGCAGAGGACAGCTACACCCTCTCAGGGGAGTTGTTTCAGCTGTTTTACAAAACAGAGCAAAGGCCAGCCTCGCCCTTCTACAGGTAAGAAAGAACAGAGCCTCCTACCTGTAAGAGTAAGAGTGTGCAAGGACGAGTCAGTGTGCATATACATCTGTGTGTGTGTATGGGAGAGAGATAGAAAGAGAGGTAGAAAAAGCAAATACACCGGGAAGTCAGCCATGTCCTCCTCCGCAGGAAGTAAGAGGGCAAGCACTTGTCAGTACTTAGAGGGCGAAACAGGCCTCAGACTGCAAGCCTGCATAGAAAGTGAAAAATCCCACGTTTCCTGCAGCCCAGATGCATTCATAGTAAATTACCTTAAGTAATCATTAGTTGACAATCCCAACCCTTTTCTGGTCAGAGGATGACTAGTGTTGGACCTGGGTAAGTCACACTCGTGGAAAAGGAAGTTGAGGTTAAGACACACACATCTCCAATTTGCTTTAAATTTTGAGGATAGTCCATGGAGGTTTTGTCAAAGTTAATAAATGTTGCACAACTTAAAACGATAGTGTTGGACATGTCAGAACATAGAGTGGCAACTGTGTACCAGTTTCTCTGCTCCCCTTGTTCTGGAAGTACTGCAGCATGCCTAGATTGAAAGCTATACTTTCCTGCGAACGTTGGTTGGGCATTGTCGATGCATGCACCTGAGCTGTGCTGTACCTCAGCTCCGACCTTCACAAAGCAAAGCTCAGTGTTTATCTGCTCATGTTAACTGGAACCACATGGTGCTAATCTGGTCAAAATTGATTTAGGAAGGGAGGAAGCAGGAGCTAGTCTACCTTCCACATTGACTTATTTGAACTCTAGTCTGGGATAAGCACAGATCGTTATCAGACTCAGTAGATCAACTCTCCTTTCCGGGTGGAAACTGGTCCTTAAAATAATATCAGCTACTCAGAATTGTACCTGGAGTACATACCTGTCAACATTCGACTAGTGCCACATTTGAAATATTCATGTGTGGCTCAGCATGGTAATGGATTTTTAAATCTAAGCACCTAACTGTGTTATACCTGACCCTGGGATTCCTTCGCGGATAGCGAAGAGGGAATTTCATCCTGTTTGGATGGAGGATGATGTGGAGGTGCCGGTGTTGACTGGGGTGGACAAGTCAAAAGTCACATAACACCATGTTATAGTCCAACAGGTTTATTTAAAATTACAAACTTTCGGACCTTGATCAGGTGAACATCACTTCATCTGACGAAGGGGCATCGCTTCGAAAGCTTGTGATTTCAAATAAACCTGTTGGACTATAACCCGGTTTTGTGTGACTTCTGACTTTGTCAAACAATGAATCTTCACTGTATCTCTTTTGAGGTTGTTTAGTGGGCTAATATTGAAGGAGTTTTACTCTTAATCTAACTCCTAGTGTGCTGGGAGTACTTCATGAGACAGTGTAGAAGGGAAAAAACGGTAAGTCTGGTGAATGAGACTCATTAGTTCAACTTGTTTCCAACACTTCACAATGGAACGGTACAACCAGTAGATTAATTTCCAAGTATTACTGGTTTTTGGCTGCCTCCTTGTTTTGAGGCTGTTGTTAACATTTAGCCTAAACTGCACCTGATTTTGCAGTGTTTGTCACGACAGCATAGTGGGAGTCTGACTTTCTAGTTAACCCCTGACATAGTTGACCAGAGCATAAGTAATGGAACTGACTCAAGAGGCTGTTTGCTGTGACAAGTGTTGAAGGAATTTTATCGTGCTGAAAACTGTGGAAAAGTTTTATTAGCAGTTTGGAAGAAGCAGTACATAACCTGTGGTGTATCTTGCCTAGGAGTCTTTAATGGTCACTGTGAAAGAAGCTTTGCTCTTCATCCAAAATATATTCTCCCACCCAGCCAACCTGAGGTGAGATGGTGTGTTGAGAAAGTACTACTGTGCATATAACTTGTGTCTTAACTAAGCTTGGTGTGTTTGTGGTATTCTGAATAAAGTTTTACTTCATATCTAATGTTTGTTATACCTGCTCAGGTACTGTTTGATAGGGATTTTACTCTGCCTCTAATCTGTGCTGTATACTACCTGAGAGTGGTTAATGGGGCTGTTTAAAATGAGTTTTATTTTGAATCCTTTTTCTGCCTGACTTGGAACTCCTTGATAAGCAGAATGGAATGAAGTTTACTAAAATAAAATGTTGTAGCTCTAGAGATCTGAAGTAAGGGCAGAAAATCTTGAGAATACACAGCAGTTCATGCAACATCTGTGGAGATAGAGTTATTGATCAAAACAGTACAATGTTGTCTCTGATGACCTTCGACCTACAACGTTAACTCTGTTTCCCTTTCCACAGATGCTACCGAACTTGCTGAGAATTTCCAGATTTTCTCTACTCTGGGTTTAAACTGTGTTATAGTTGACTCAACTGATATTAACATAGAGTACAATTCTGGATTGACCTGGTGCATTTGCTGTGCATGTAACATATTTTGTGTGTATCCTGCAAGTATTTGATGTGGCTTTTGTAGAGGAAACTTCCATCTCTCTAACCTGTGCAGTACCTTTATCTTGGGACTAATTGATGAGGCGGACTAAATCATTGTGAAGGGCACATTCTCCCCTATCTGACCTATGTTAGAGTTGTCTAGAACTTTTTTTTTAACTGTTGTGCAAGAAACATTACTTTGTGACTTTTTCTGTTTCCAATTACTTGTGTTTTTGACTTGCGATTGTTTTAAAGGAGTTTCACTCTATGTCCATCCTGAATGTTGGATTTTTGGTGGGACAATATAAAGCATGGCATGCTGAAGGGAATAAGGGATTTTGTATGAAGCAAAGTTAAGGAAATTTCCTGTTACGGTTAATTTGTGTTGGATTTGAGGAAAGCTCAATGGGTAGTCGAGCTGCATTATTCTGCGTCAAAGTTAAATAGGTTACTAAGTCATGGTTAAGAGGGTATGAATGTTATCAAAACTTTGTATCCACCCTCTTTTCAGCAAGGAGATTGCTTGATGCTAGTACAGAATGAATTTCACTGTTCAACTAATTCATGCCAGGAATTGTCAGAGTGCTTTCTGGGATGGAATAGAGGAATCCTTGTTAAGTATCTGCATGAACACATTGCTGCTACTAATTGGGAATTGTTGGATGGATCAGAGGGACCTTTTTAAACTGGATTGAAACTGTTGGGAATGGCATGGCGAGGGCTGGAAATCCCGGAGCGGGACTCTGGCGGAGGCATGGCGAGGGTTGGAAATCCTGGAGTGGGACTGCGGCAGTGGAAAGGAAACTTGGACTCTCTAAAGTTATCTTTTCTTTTCTTTTCTTATCTTATTCTAAGTTAATGTGAATGGCGCCATGTACGTACGGCAAAGGTACACACTTTTTGCTGTTTTTACGTCGAATACACATGACAATAAATGATTTAATCAGTCCTTACCTTGCATGGGTTTATAGGATAGTGGAGAAATAAATGTTGCATATTTAATGCCGTTTGTACCTAATCTGGAAGTGCTGGATAGTGCATGTCGAAAGAGTTTAGATTAAGTTATGCTTGACAAGTCAGCATTGAGATTGTTTCACTATTATTTGTGACCCGAAAATGTTTCATTGGCTCTTTACCCAGCATTTAACCCACTGTGTATGTGATACAGGGATGTCCAGAGAACCATTGAGTTAAATTTACCATGTAGTATATTTGGCATGGGAATACAGTGAGCAGGGGAGGAGCTTCCCTTTATCTAACGTGTGTTGTACATGATGCCGTGTAACTAAATGGAAATGTGCTCCAATGTTCTGTACTGGGTGCAACAATGTTGGTTTAGAGTTGACCGTTTGTTTCTGTGCCTTTCAGGAGAAGGAACCCCGATTAGCCCGAGTGCCGCCCACTCCAACAAGGAAGCTCTTCACCATTGGAGATGCCAATGAAGATAAAACTAGGTGGGCAAATAACCTGAGGGAAGCAGTTCATTAGACCAGCATGCATTACTTGGTTTTTGAACTGCTGTTTAGCCAGATACTGCAACTCAATATAAATACCCATGTAATGATCTCAACCATGTTGGTACATAAAAATGTGAAATAAGAGTTAATATAAAGACTAGTTTGATTTTAGCCTGCATCCTAGATGTGCTTTGACAATGCAAGTAATCAAACGGAGTTATATTCTACTGGAGCCAATAGGTAGCGATAGCTGAAGGTGCTACATTAGCCCTTTGACTCCTCTTTATGTTAAGCTGTCTGCATGTAACTGGGAAGGCTCTGTGAGTCTAGATTACATATCAAATGGAAGTCATGAGTCCAAATGTTCACTATTCCAGTGAAGTGTCATCAGCATAGTGTAAATCATGTATTTACTAGGGTATGGGTAACTGTACCAAGATCATCTCCACTTCAAATACCTTAAATACACCTGAAAACTGGAACTGGGGTCTGAATTGACTTCTGATTTCAACATTTAAGCAGATTCTCCCACATTTGATTCTATGCTTGGTTAGAACTTCATAGGGCAGGATTTGGAATGCTGCAGTTGATTTTAGATCCAATGGGTTAAGGAGGGTGATTGTTGTGGCTGTCCATGGCTGTAAAGGTGTTCTGAGCACAAGCTTGGGAATTAAGCAACAAGAAATATAAGCAAGAGTAGGCCACACTGTCCCACAAGCCTTTTTGCCATTCAGTAAGATCATGGCTGATCTTCAGTTGAACCATGGGAGATGGTGGTCAGGTTGGAAGATAGAATTCAGGTCAGAGTATAAAATCTCTTAATCGCAAATTTGAATCTACTCAGTGACTGAGCATTCACAGCTCTCTGGTGGAGAGAATTCCAGATTATCTCCTCCTTATCTTGAGGCCATACCCTCTAGCTCTGAACCCTTCAATTAGGAAACATCCTTTCAACATCTATCCTTTTCCAGTCCCTCAGAATCTGCTATGTTTTAATGAGATCACTTCTTGCTTTTTTAAACTCCTGGACAGTGAAGGCCCAGTTTGTTCAAGCTGTCACCACGAGACGTCCCCTCATCACCTTTTGACTAATCTAGTGAACCTTTGTTGTGATGCTTTCAAGATGCGTATCTCTATCCTTGGTCAAAACTGTTCACTGTATTCCACGTGTGGCCTCACTAAAGTTTTTTGTTTGATTTTCACAACACTTCCTTACAGTTGTACTCCATTCCCCTTGCAAGAAAGCCCAAAGATTATTGTGATGCCATGATGGTTGAATAATCTGGAAGCACTCACTAACTAGTCTTGCTTGAGGTACCTGTCTGTTTGGATGAAGTATTAGACAAGAGATGAGAATGGAGTTGTATCCAAACTGCACTTCAGTTTGGAAAACAAGAAACTGAAGAAATAGTAAAATTTAAGAAAGGTACAGGACTGGATGATAAGAAATATATTCTACCTTACTCACCTCAAAATGTTAATATGCCCCTTTCTTTGCAAATGCTCTCAATCTTGTAAATTAGCTCCCAATTATGTGAAGTTGTGTAATCCAAAGTCCTCACCTTCCCTCTCAGTACTGGAGGAAACCACAGGTTACTGAGTTGATGGCAGCATTCAGATAGTTTGCTCCCCCTGACCAGCTTGTAGTTTAGCTGAAAATGTTTTTTAAAAAATGATAACACATCGAAGAATAGATGCAGAAATATTAATCTAGCCATGAGACTATTAGTCGTTGCCTGCTTCCTGCTATTTGTGATTTTTTTCTTTCTGAATGCAGTGACTCCACAGTCCCTTTGTCCAGAAGTACCTCTTACACACGACAGCGAGAGGATGATGCTGGCAATCCATTGACCAGCCTGACCCGGGCCTCGTCCTATGTACGTAAGCAAACAGAGTTGGAGAGCAGCAAAAGGGATAAAGACTTGAATAACACGATACCGAGTAGCACAGGCAACTCTACGGCTACAGTGTCTGGTTATCCAAAAAGGTTTGTGACCAGTTTGTAGAGAACTCTCTAGCTGCTTGGTAATAATGGGCTTATTTCTTGCCTTTCTTTCAAAGATATTGAACTCTGGGAGCATCTGTGAAGAATAATCAGCGTTAACGTTTCACATCCAGCAACCCTTAGTCAGAAAATGTTAATTTTTTTTTATTCATTCATTGGATGTGGGAATTGCTGGCTGGACCTGCATTTATTGCCCAGAGGGCAGTTAAGAGTCAACCACATTGCTGTGGGTCTGGAGTCACATGTAGGCCAGACCAGGTAAGGATGGCAGATTTCCTTCCCTAAAGGACATTAGTGAAACAGATGGGTTTTTCCTGACAATCAGCATTGGATTCATGGTCATCATTAGACTCTTAATTCCAGATTATTATTGAATTCAAATTCCACTGTCTGCTGTGGTGAGATTCGAACTCAGATCCCCAGAACATTACCTGCATCTCTGGATTAATAGTCTAGTGATAGTACTACTAGGTCACCACCTTTCTTTGCAAACAATATGCCCCTTCCTTTGCAAACACACTCAATCTTGTAAATTAGCTCCTAAAAACTACCTTCCTGCCTCCATGGGCAGTCAGTTCTACATACTCATCATCCTTTATGTGAAGTTGTGTAATCCAAAGTCCTCACCCTCCCTAGTTGTGAGGAAGGGTCACCGGACCTGATACATTAACTCTGATTTTTCTTCACAGAAGATGCCAGACCTGCTGAGCTTTTCCAGCAACTTCTGTTTTTGTTCCTAACTTCGAGCATCCGCAGTTCTTTTGCTTTGTTTTGAACTCTGGGGCTGGTCTTCACCCTTTTAATGAGGTTTGTTTCTCCTTACATTTTATTTACTGTGACATCTTTATTTCCTTATATCCTCCTGGTAAGCATGCTGTTCTCACTCACTAAAATTTTTTGGTTCCTTTGATGAGTTATTGGAATGTGGTGGTTCACTCACTCTTGTTTCATTTGGTGATATTGGTTAACTGGTCGTACTGTGTGTAGGACCTTGCAAAGTTTAGCATCTGTAGCCACAGATTAAGGATTTGTATAAGATAGTTGCACTTCAATTTTTTTTTTGCTTGAGTGCTAATAGCAATGCACAATCTCCATGAGAGGTGAAGAAAGATGACTTGGGCCCACTTAAAGGGTGACACTTAGGCAAATGCTCTCCCAACTGTTTAGATGATCAGCACTAAGCCAGGAGACTGCTCTGATCCAGATTCATGTTACAAGGTGCACTCTACCCCAACCTGATACAAGTCAAATTGCTGCAGAATCTATAAACATTGGCTGACCCAACAGAGTGTTGAGCCCGCTGCCAGTGATGACAGAATACGACTATGATCTAGTAACTTTTCCACCAATAGATATAAAGAGTTGGCATGGATGATATAGTTGTGGAAGAAACGGAGCTGATGCTGGGCTCTTTCACTACCTCCAGTATCTGCTGCTTCTCACGTTATTCTGTGTCTCATGAGTTGCTACTTCTCAAACTGGCTGAATGTAACCGTGCCAGGTTGCAGTGAGGTGTGAGCCTCTCCCCACCACTGAGAGCATTGCCTGGTACATATACTATCAAAATCGGAGAGGCAGCGTATGTTAGAATGCTGCCTACTTGAAATCGCTTTAAACAGTATGTGCATGACAACATATCATCTGCTAAGTGGCCTTATGTATTTGACTTTTAAAATGAGAACAAAAACAAGTAAATCATCATCATACGTAGTCATAGCACTTAACTAACCAAGAATCTAGTCAAGGAGAACATGTGATAGTAGGAACTGCAGATGCTGGAGAATCCGAGACAACAAGGTGCAGGGCTGGATGAACACAGCAGGCCAAGCAGCATCATAGGAGCAGAGAGGCTGACGTTTCGGGCCTAGACCCTTCATCAGAA